AGCCACTGCAAGGAAATCTGGCCTCCTTTCAAGTTAGGGCTTCTGGCTGTATATTCCCATTGAGGCAGCAAACTCGGTGTCCCTCCCACATAACTGTTGCTGAGAGAAACCTCCTCCTGAGTTGCTTCTGGAAAGTTTGCATACGTCTTGAGCCTAAGCAAGGGAATCAGCTCTCATCTCGAGACGATTTGGGGTACACGGAGCATTCCTCGAGTTGCTGTGCTGAAGTTGGTGTTCCTCTAGACTTGGGACAGTGTTCTCGGGGCATCTCTGGAGTTGCCTGAAGGAAGTTGAGACACCGGTCGTGTTGAATGGGGAACGGGGAATGGCTCTGGAATCAATGGAGGGTAATCGGGCCTCATCTCGAGTTGATTTGGGGCACATGGAGCTGCTTTGCTTTGCTGGGGTCACCTCAGGGTCCGTCTAGACTGGTGACAGTGTTCTTGGGGACTGTCTCGAGATCCATTAAGCAAGTCGAAGCTCCTGACTTGTTTGAATGGGATCACGGAATAGCTCTGCATGCACTGAAGGGGATTGGGGCCTCATCTCGCTTCTAGGGGGAAGTCTCATGGTTTTTCTCGAGTTGCGGCGAGGACCTGGGGTATGTTCTCGAATTACGGCGGGGGTGGCCCTTCAAAACACGAGTTTCTTCTGTGATGTCAGGACTCCTGTCTAGTAACGAGGGACACCTCAGGAATCTCTTCGAGTCTTGGCAGGGCAAATGGGACACTTGTCGAGGTGAGGCAGGGCACCCAAGGACCCTTTCCAGTAGCCACATTGATTATAGGATTCCTATCAGTATTCAAGAGGAGTCAGGCATCTTCACCTTTTGAAGCAGTAAATTCTGCTTGCCTCTCGAGGTGTCAGCGGGATGTGAGGCATTCCGTCAAAATGAGGCAGGGACCTAGGGCTTTCTCTAAGGTCTCCACAGGGGATTCAGACATCCCTCCATGTTGTGAGATCAAAGACGAGCCTGTATTCAAGCCACTGCAAGGAAATCCGGCCTCCTTTCAAGTTAGGGCTTCTCGCTGTATATTCCACTTGAGGCAGCAAACTCGGGGTCCCTCCCACATACCTTTTGCTGAGAGAAGCCTCCTCTTGAGGTGCTTCTGGAAAGTTGGCATACGTATTGATCCTAAGCCTGGGAATCAGCTCTCATCTCGAGACGATTTGGTGTACACGGAGCATTCCCCGAGTTGCTGTGCTGAAGTTGGTGTTCCTCTAGACTTGGGACAGTGTTCTAGGGGCATCTCTGGAGTTGCCTGAAGGAAGTCGAGCCACCGGTCGTGTTGAATGGGGAACGAGGAATGGCTCTGGAGTCAATGCAGGGGAATCGGGCCTCATCTCGAGTTGATTTGGGGCACCTGGAGCTGCTTTGTGTTGCTGGGGTGACCTCAGGGTCCGTCTGGACTGGTGACAGTGTTCTTGGGGACTGTCTCGAGATCCATTAAGCAAGTCGAAGCTCCTGACTTGTTTGAATGGGATCAGGCAATAGCTCTGCATGCACTGCAGGGGAATGGGGCCTCATCTCGCCTCTAGGGGGAAGTCTCCTGGTTTTTCTCGAGTTGTGGCGGGGAACTGGGGTATGTTCTCGACTTACAGCGGGGATGGCCCTTCAAAACACGAGTTTCTTCAGTGACGTCAGGACTCCTGTCTAGTAACGAGGGACACCTCAGGAATCTCTTCGAGGCTTGAAAGGGCAAAAGGGACGCTTCTCGAGGTGAGGCAGGGCACCCAATGACCCTTTCCAGTAGCCACAGGGATTTTGGGATTCCTATCAGTATTCAAGAGGAGTCAGGCATCGTCACCTTTTGAAGCAATGAACTCCTCGTACCTCTTGAGGTGTCAGCGGGATGTGAGGCATTCCGTCAAAATGAGGCAGGGACCTAGGGCTTTCCCTAAGGTCTCCACAGGGGATTCAGAAAACCCTTCTTGTTGTGAGATGAAAGACGAGCCTGTATTCAAGCCACTGCAAGGAAATCCGGCCTCCTTTCAAGTTATGTCTTCTCGCTGTATATTCCCCTAGAGGCAGCAAACTCGGGGTCCCTCCCTCATACCTATTGCTGAGAGAAGCCTCCTCCTGAGGTGCTTCTGGAAATTTGGCATACCTCTTGAGCCTAAGCCAGGGAATCAGCTCTCATCTCGAGACGATTTGGGGTACACGGAGCATTCCTCGAGTTGCTGTGCTGAAGTTGGTGTTCCTCTCGACTTGGGACAGTGTTCTCGGGGCATCTCTGGAGTTGCCTGAAGGAAGTCGAGCCACCGGTCCTGTTGAATGGGGAACCGGGAAAGGCCCTGGGGTCAATGCAGGGGAATCGGGCCTCATCTCGAGTTGATTTGGGGCACATGGATCTGCTTTGCCTTGCTGGGTTGATCTCAGGGTCCGTCTAGACTGGTGACAGGGTTCTTGGGGACTGTCTCGAGATCCATTAAGCAAGTCGAAGCTCCTGACTTGTTTGAATGGGATCACGGAATAGCTCTGCATGCACTGCAGTGGAATGGGCCTCATCTCGCCTCTAGGGGGAAGTCTCATGGTTTTCCTCGAGTTGCGGCGGGGACCTGGGGTATGTTCTCGACTTACGGCGGGGATGGCAATTCATAACACGAGTTTCTTCAGTGACGTCAGGACTCCTGTCTAGTAACGAGGGACACCTCAGGAATCTCTTCGAGGCTTGGCAGGGCAAAAGGGACGCTTCTCTAGGTGAGGCAGGGTACCCAAGGAACCTTTCCAGTAGCCACAGTGATTTTGGCATTCCTATCAGTATTCAAGAGGAGTCAGGCATCGTCACCTTTTGAAGCAATGAACTCCGCATGCCTCTCGAGGTGTCAGCGGGATGTGAGGCATTCCGTCAAAATGAGGCAGGGACCTACGGCTTTCTCTAAAGTCTCCACAGGGGATTCAGACATCCCTCCATGTTTTGAGATCAAAGACGAGCCTGTATTCAAGCCACTGCAAGGAAATCTGGCCTCCTTTCAAGTTAGGGCTTCTCGCTGTATATTCCCCTTCAGGCACCAAACTCGGGGTCCCTCCCACATACCTATTGCTGAGAGAAGCCTCCTCCTGAGGTGCTTCTGGAAAGTTGGCATACGTATTGAGCCTAAGCCAGGGAATCAGCTCTCATCTCGAGACGATTTGGGGTACACGGAGCATTCCTCGAGTTGCTGTGCTGAAGTTGGTGTTCCTCTAGACTTGGGAGAGTGTTCTCGGGGCATCCCTGGTGTTGCCTGAAGGAAGTCGAGCCACCGGTCGTGTTGAATGGGGAACGGGGAATGGCTCTGGAGTCAATGCAGGGGAATCGGGCCTCATCTCGAGTTGATTTGGGGCACATGGAGCTGCTTTGCGTTGCTGGGGTGACTTCAGGGTCCGTCTAGACTGGTGACAGTGTTCTTGGGGACTGTCTCGAGATCCATTAAGCAAGTCGAAGCTCCTGACTTGTTTGAATGGGTTCACGAATAGCTCTGCATGCACTGCAGGGGAATGTGGCATCATCTCGCCTCTAGGGGGAAGTCTCATGGTTTTTCTCGAGTTGCCACGGGGACCTGGGGTATGTTCTCGACTTACGGCGGGGATGGCCCTTCAAAACACGAGTTTCTTCAGTGACGTCAGGACTCCTGTCTAGTAACGAGGGACACCTCAGGAATCTCTTCGAGGCTTGGAAGGGCAAAAGGGACGCTTCTCGAGGTGAGGCAGGGCACCCAATGACCCTTTCCAGTAGCCACAGGGATTTTGGGATTCCTATCAGTATTCAAGAGGAGTCAGGCATCGTCACCTTTTGAAGCAATGAACTCCGCGTACCTCTCGAGGTGTCAGCGGGATGTGAGGCATTCCGTCAAAATGAGGCAGGGACCTAGGGCTTTCCCTAAGGTCTCCACAGGGGATTCAGAAAACCCTTCTTTTTGTGAGATGAAAGACGAGCCTGTATTCAAGCCACTGCAAGGAAATCTGGCCTCCTTTCAAGTTAGGGCTTCTCGCTGTATATTCCCTTTGAGGCAGCAAACTCGGGGTCCCTCCCTCATACCTTTTGCTGAGAGAAGCCTCCTCCTGAGGTGCTTCTGGAAATTTGGCATACCTCTTGAGCCTAAGCCAGGGAATCAGCTCTCATCTCGAGACGATTTGGGGTACACGGAGCATTCCTCGAGTTGCTGTGCTGAAGTTGGTGTTCCTCTCGACTTGGGACAGTGTTCTCGGGGCATCTCTGGAGTTGCCTGAAGGAAGTCGAGCCACCGGTCCTGTTGAATGGGGAACGGGGAATGGCTCTGGAGTCAATGCAGGGGAATCGGGCCTCATCTCGTGTTGATTTGGGGCACATGGAACTGCTTTGCCTTGCTGGGTTGATCTCAGGGTCCGTCTAGACTGGTGACAGGGTTCTTGGGGACTGTCTCGAGATCCATTAAGCAAGTCGAAGCTCCTGACTTGTTTGAATGGGATCACGGAATAGCTCTGCATGGACTGCAGTGGAATGGGGCCTCATCTCGCCTCTAGGGGGAAGTCTCATGGTTTTTCTCGAGTTGCGGCGGGGACCTGGGGTATGTTCTCGACTTACGGCGGGGATGGCAATTCAAAACACGAGTTTCTTCAGTGACGTCAGGACTCCTGTCTAGTGACGAGGGACACCTCAGTTATCTCTTCGAGGCTTGGCAGGGCAAAAGGGATGCTTCTCGAGGTGAGGAAGGGCACCCAAGGACCCTTTCCAGTAGCCACAAGGATTTTGGGATTCCTATCAGTATTCAAGAGGAGTCAGGCATCTTCACCTTTTGAAGCAATGAACTCCGAATGCCTCTCGAGGTGTCAGCGGGATGTCAGGCATTCCGTCAAAAAGAGGCAGGGAGCTAGGTCTTTCTCTAAGGTCTCCACAGGGGATTCAGACATCCCTTCATGTTGTGAGATTAAAGACGAGCCTGTATTCAAGCCACTGCAGGGAAATCCGGCCTCCTTTGAAGTTAGGGCTTCTCGCTGTATATTCCCCTTGAGGCAGCAAACTCGGGGTCCCCCCACATACCTATTGCTGAGAGAAACCTCCTCCTGAGGTGCTTCTGGAAAGTTGGCATACGTCTTGAGCCTAAGCACGGCAATCAGCTCTCATCTCGAGACGATTTGGGGTACACGGAGCATTACTTGAGTTGCTCTGCTGAAGTTGGTGTTCCTCTAGCCTTGGGAGAGTGTTCTCGGGGCATCTCTGGAGTTGCCTGAAGGAAGTCGAGCCACCGGTCGTGTTGAATGGGGAACGGGGAATGGCTCTGCAGTCAATGCAGGGGAATCGGGCCTCATCTCGATTTGATTTGGGGCACATGGAGCTGCTTTGCCTTGCTGGGTTGATCTCAGGGTCCGTCTAGACTGGTGACAGTGTTCTTGGGGACTGTCTCGAGATCCATTAAGCAAGTCGAAGCTCCTGACTTGTTAGAATGGGATCACGGAATAGCTCAGCATGCACTGCAGGTGAATGGGGCCTCATCTCGCCTCTAGGGGGAAGTCTCATGGTTTTTCTCGAGTTGCGGCGGGGACCTGGGGTATGTTCTCGACTTTCGGCGGGGATGGCCCTTCAAAACACGAGTTTCTTCAGTGACGTCAGGACTCCTGTCTAATAACGAGGGACACCTCAGGAATCTCTTCGAGGCTTGGCAGGGCAAAAGGGACGCTTCTCGAGGTGAGGCAGGGCACCCAAGGACCCTTTCCAGTAGCCACAGGGATTTTAGGTTTCCTATCAGTATTCAAGAGGAGTCAGGCATCGTAAACTTTTGAAGCGATGTACTCCGCGTGCCTTTCGAGGTGTCAGCGGGATGTGAGGCATTCCGTCAAAATGAGGCAGGACCTAGGGCTTTCTCTAATGTCTCCACAGGGGATTCAGACATCCCTCCATGTTGTGAGATCAAAGACGAGCCTGTATTCAAGCCACTGCAAGGAAATCCGGCCTACTTTCAAGTTAGGGCTTCTCGCTGTATATTCCCCTTGAGGCAGCAAACTCGGGGTCCCTCCCACATACCTTTTGCTGAGAGAAGCCTCCTCTTGAGGTGCTTCTGGAAAGTTGGCATACGTATTGATCCTAAGCCAGGGAATCAGCTCTCATCTCGAGACGATTTGGTGTACACGGAACATTCCTCGAGTTGCTGTGCTGAAGTTGGTGTTCCTCTAGACTTGGGACAGTGTTCTAGGGGCATCTCTGGAGTTGCCTGAAGGGAGTTGAGCCACCGGTCGTGTTGAATGGGGAATGAGGAATGGCTCTGGAGTCAATGCAGGGGAATCGGGCCTCATCTCGAGTGATTTGGGGCACATGGAGCTGCTTTGCGTTGCTGGGGTGACCTCAGGGTCCGTCTAGACTGGTGACAGTGTTCTTGGGGACTGTCTCGAGATCCATTAAGCAAGTCGAAGCTCCTGACTTGTTTGAATGGGATCACGGAATAGCTCTGCATGCACTGCAGGGGAATGGGGCCTCATCTCGCCTCTAGTGGGAAGTCTCATGGTTTTTCTCGAGTTGCGGCGGGGACCTGGGGTAAGTTCTCGACTTACGGCGGGGATGGTTCTTCAAAACACGAGTTTCCTCAGTGACGTCAGGACTCCTGTCTAGTAACGAGGAACACCTCAGGAATCTCTTCGAGGCTTGGCAGGGCAAAAGGGACGCTCCTCGAGGTGAGGCAGGGCACCCAAGGACCCTTTCCAGTAGCCACAGGGATTTTGCGATTCCTATAAGTATTCAAGAGGAGTCAGGCATCATCACCTTTTGAAGCAGTGAACTCCGCGTGCCTTTCCAGGTGTCAGCGGGATGTGAGGAATTCCGTGAAAATGAGGCAGGGACCTAGGGCTTTCTCTAAGGTCTCCACAGGGGATTCAGACATCCCTTCATGTTGTGAGATGAAAGACGAGCCTGTATTCAAGACACTGCAAGGAAATCCGGCCTCCTTTCAAGTTAGGGCTTCTCGCTGTATATTCCCCTTGAGGCAGCAAACTCGGGGTCCCTCCCACATAACTGTTGCTGAGAGAAACCTCCTCCTGAGGTGCTTCTGGAAAGTTGGCATACGTCTTGAGCCTAAGCCAGGGAATCAGCTCTCATCTCGAGACGATTTGCGGTACACGGAGCATTCCTCGAGTTGTTGTGCTGAAGTTGGTGTTCCTCTAGACTTGGGACAGTGTTCTCGGGGCATCTCTGGAGTTGCCTGAAGGAAGTCGAGCCACCAGTCGTGTTGAATGGGGAACGGGGAATGGCTCTGGATTCTATGCAGGGTAATCGGGCCTCATCTCGAGTTGATTTGGGGCACATGGAGCTGCTTTACGTTGCTTGGGTGACCTCAGGGTCCGTCTAGACTGGTGACAGTGTTCTTGGGGACTGTCTCGAGATCCATTAAGCAAGTCGAAGCTCCTGACTTCTTTGAATGGGATCACGGAATATCTCTGCATGCACTGGAGGGGAATGGGGCCTCATCTCTCGCCTCTAGGTGGAAGTCTCATTGTTTTTCTTGAGTTGCGGCGGGGACCTGGGGTATGTTCTCGACTTACGGCGGGGATGGCCCTTCAAAACATGAGTTTCTTCCGTGACGTCAGGACTCCTGTCTAGTAACGAGGGACACCTCAGGAATCTCTTCGAGGCTTGGCAGGGCAATAGGGACGCTTCTCGATGTGAGGCAGGGCACCCAAGGACCCTTTCCAGTAGCCACAGTGATTTTGGGATTCCTATCAGTATTCAAGAGGAGTCAGGCATCGTCACCTTTTGAAGCAATGAACTCCGCGTGCCTCTCGAGGTGTCAGCGGGATGTGAGGAATTCCGTCAAAATGAGGCAGGGACCTAGGGCTTTCTCTAAGGTCTCCACAGGGGTTTCAGACAACCCTTCATGTTGTGACATGAAAGACGAGCCTGTATTCAAGCCACTGCAAGGAAATCTGGCCTCCTTTCAAGTTAGGGCTTCTCTCTGTATATTCCCCTTGAGGCAGCAAACTCGGGGTCCCTCCCACATACCTATTGCTGAGAGAAGCCTCCTCCTGAAGTGCTTCTGGAAAGTTGGCATACCTCTTGAGCCTAAGCCCGGGAATCAGCTCTCATTTCGAGACGATTTGGGGTACACGGAGCATTCCTCGATTTGCTGTGCTGAAGTTGGTGTTCCTCTAGACTTGGGAGAGTGTTCTCGGGGCATCTCTGGGGTTGCCTGAAGGAAGTCGAGCCACCGGTCGTGTTGAATGGGGAATGGGGAATGGCTCTGGAGTCAATGCAGGGGAATCGGGCCTCATCTCGAGTTGATTTGGGGCACATGGAGCTGCTTTGCGTTGCTTCGGTGACCTCAGGGTCCGTCTAGACTGGTGACAGTGTTCTTGGGGACTGTCTCGAGATCCATTAAGCAAGTCGAAGCTCCTGACTTGTTTGAATGGGATCACGGAATAGCTCTGCATGCACTTTAGGGGAATGGGGCCTCATATCGCCTCTAGGGGGAAGTCTCATGGTTTTTCTCGAGTTGCGGAGGGGACTTGGTGTATGTTCTCGACTTTCGGCGGGGATGGTCCTTCAAAACACGAGTTCCTTCAGTGACGTCAGGACTCCTGTCTAGTAACGAGGGACACCTCAGAAATCTCTTCGAGGCTTGGCAGGGCAAAAGGGATGCTTCTCGAGGTGAGGCAGGGCACCCAAGGACCCTTTCCATTAGCCACATGGATTTTGGGATTCCTATCAGTATTCAAGAGGAGTCAGGCATCGTCACCTTTTGAAGCAATGAACTCTGCGTGCCTCTCGAGGTGTCAGCGGGATGTGAGGCATTCCGTCAAAATGAGGCAGGGACCTAGGGCTTTCTCTAAGGTCTCCACAGGGGATTCAGACATCCCTTCATGTAGTGAGATGAAAGACGAGCCTGTATTCCAGCCACTGCAAGGAAATCCGGCCTCCTTTCAAGTTAGGACTTCTCGCTGTATATTCCCCTTGAGGCAGCAAACTCGGGGTCCTTCCCACATAGCTATTGCTGATAGAAGCCTCCTCCTGAAGTGCTTCTGGAAAGTTGGCATACGTCTTGAGCCTAAGCCAGGGAATCAGCTCTCATCTCGAGACGATTTGGGGTACACGGAGCATTCCCCAGTTGCTGTGCTGAAGTTGGTGTTCCTCTAGACTTGGGACAGTGTTCTCGGGGCATCTCTGGAGTTGCCTGAAGGAAGTCGAGCCACCGGTCGTGTTGAATGGGGAACGGGGAATGGCTCTGGAGTCAATGCATGGGAATCGGGCCTCATCTCGAGTTGATTTGGGGCACATGGAGCTGCTTTGCGTTGCTGGGGTGACCTCAGGGTCCGTCTAGACTGGTGACAGTGTTCTTGGGGACTGTCTCGAGATCCATTAAGCAAGTCGAAGCTCCTGACTTGTTTGAAATGGAATACGAAATAGCTCTGCACGCACTGCTGTGGAATGGGGACTCATATCTCCTCTAGGGGGAAGTCTCATGGTTTTTCTCGAGTTGCGGCGGGGACCTGGTCTATGTTCTCGTATTACGGCGGGGATGGCCCTTCAAAACACGAGTTTCTTCAGTGACGTCAGGACTCCTGTCTAGTGACGAGGGACACCTCAGGAATCTCTTCGAGGCTTGGCAGGGCAAAAGGGACGCTTCTGGAGGTGAGGCAGGGCACCCAAGGACCCTTTCCAGTAGCCACAGGGATTTTGGGATTCCTATCAGTATTCAAGAAGAGACAGGCATCGTCACATTTTGAAGCAATGAACTCCGCGTGCATCTCGAGGTGTCAGCGGGATGTGAGGCATTCCGTCAAAATGAGGCAGGGACCTAGGGCTTTCTCTAAGGTCTCCACAGGGGATTCAGACATCCCTTCATGTTGTGAGATGAAAGACGAGCCTGTATTCAAGCCACTGCAAGGAAATCCGGCCTCCTTTCAAGTTAGGGCTTCTCGCTGTATATTCCCCTTGAGGCAGCAAACTCGGGGTCCCTCCCACATACTTATTGCTGAGAGAAGCCTCCTCCTGAGGTGCTTCTGGGAAGTTGGCATACGTCTTGAGCCTAAGCCAGGGAATCAGCTCTCATCTCGAGACGATTTGGGGTACACGGAGCATTCCTCGTGTTTCTGTGCTGAAGTTGGTGTTCCTCTAGACTTGGGACAGTGTTCTCGGGGCATCTCTGGAGTTGCCTGAAGGAAGTCGAGCCACCGGTCGTGTTGAATGGGGAATGGGGAATGGCTCTGGAGTCAATGCAGGGGAATCGGGCCTCATCTCGAGTTGATTTGGGGCACATGGAGCTGCTTTGCGTTGCTGGGGTGACCTCAGGGTCCGTCTAGACTGGTGACAGTGTTCATGGGGACTGTCTCGAGATCCATTAAGCAAGTCGAAGCTCCTGACTTGTTTGACTGGGATCACGGAATAGCTCTGCATGCACTGCAGGGGAATGGGGCCTCATCTCGCCTCTAGGGGGAAGTCTCATGGTTTTTCTCGAGTTGCGGCGGGGACCTGGGGTATGTTCTCGACTTACGGCGGGGATGGCCCTTCAAAACACGAGTTTCTTCAGTGACGTCAGGACTCCTGTCTAGTAACGAGGGACACCTCAGGAATCTCTTCGAGGCTTGGCAGGGCAAAAGGGACGCTTCTCGAGGTGAGGCAGGGCACCCAAGGACCCATTCCAGTAGCCACAGGGATTTTGGGATTCCTATCAGTATTCAAGAGGAGTCAGGCATCATCACCTTTTGAAGCAATGAACTCCGCGTGCCTCTCGAGGTGTCAGCGGGATGTGAGGCATTCCGTCAAAATGAGGCAGGGACCTAGGGCTTTCTCTAAGGTCTCCACAGGGGATTCAGACATCCCTTCATGTTGTGAGATGAAAGACGAGCCTGTATTCAAGCCACTGCAAGGAAATCCGGCCTCCTTTCAAGTTAGGGCTTCTCGCTGTATATTCCCCTTGAGGCAGCAAACTCGGGGTCCCTCCCACATACCTATTGCTGAGAGAACCCTCCTCCTGAGGTGCTTCTGGGAAGTTGGCATACGTCTTGAGCCTAAGCCAGGGAATCAGCTCTCATCTCGAGACGATTTGGGGTACACGGAGCATTCCTCGAGTTGCTGTGCTGAAGTTGGTGTTCCTCTAGACTTGGGACAGTGTTCTCGGGGCATCTCTGGAGTTGCCTGAAGGAAGTCGAGCCACCGGTCGTGCTGAAAGGGGAACGGGGAATGGCTCTGGAGTCAATGCAGGGGAATCGGGCCTCATCTCGAGTTGATTTGGGGCACATGGAGCTGCTTTGCGTTGCTGGGGTGACCTCAGGGTCCGTCTAGACTGGTGACAGTGTTCTTGGGGACTGTCTCGAGATCCATTAAGCAAGTCGAAGCTCCTGACTTGTTTGAATGGGATCACGGAATAGCTCTGCATGCACTGCAGGGGAATGGGGCCTCATCTCGCCTCTAGGGGGAAGTCTCATGGTTTTTCTCGAGTTGCGGCGGGGACCTGGGGTATGTTCTCGACTTACGGCGGGGATGGCCCTTCAAAACACGAGTTTCTTCAGTGACGTCAGGACTCCTGTCTAGTAACGAGGGACACCTCAGGAATCTCTTCGAGGCTTGGCAGTGCAAAAGGGACGCTTCTCGAGGTGAGGCAGGGCACCCAAGGACCCTTTCCAGTAGCCACAGGGATTTTGGGATTCCTATCAGTATTCAAGAGGAGTCAGGCATCGTCACCTTTTGAAGCAATGAACTCCGCGTGCCTCTCGAGGTGTCAGCGGGATGTGAGGCATTCCGTCAAAATGAGGCAGGGACCTAGGGCTTTCTCTAAGGTCTCCACAGGGGATTCAGACATCCCTTCATGTTGTGAGATGAAAGACGAGCCTGTATTCAAGCCACTGCAAGGAAATCCGGCCTCCTTTCAAGTTAGGGCTTCTCGCTGTATATTCCCCTTGAGGCAGCAAACTTGGGGTCCCTCCCACATACCTATTGCTGAGAGAAGCCTCCTCCTGAGGTGCTTCTGGGAAGTTGGCATACGTCTTGAGCCTAAGCCAGGGAATCAGCTCTCATCTCGAGACGATTTGGGGTACACGGAGCATTCCTCGAGTTGCTGTGCTGAAGTTGGTGTTCCTCTAGACTTGGGACAGTGTTCTCGGGGCATCTCTGGAGTTGCCTGAAGGAAGTCGAGCCACCGGTCGTGTTGAATGGGGAACGGGGAATGGCTCTGGAGTCAATGCAGGGAATCGGGCCTCATCTCGAGTTGATTTGGGGCACATGGAGCTGCTTTGCGTTGCTGGGGTGACCTCAGGGTCCGTCTAGTCTGGTGACAGTGTTCTTGGGGACTGTCTCGAGATCCATTAAGCAAGTCGAAGCTCCTGACTTGTTTGAATGGGATCACGGAATAGCTCTGCATGCACTGCAGCGGAATGGGGCCTCATCTCGCCTCTAGGGGGAAGTCTCATGGTTTTTCTCGAGTTGCGGCGGGGACCTGGGTTATCTTCTCGACTTACAGCGGGGATGGCCCTTCAAAACACGAGTTTCTTCAGTGACGTCAGGACTCCTGTCTAGTAACGAGGGACACCTCAGGAATCTCTTCGAGGCTTGGCAGGGCAAAAGGGACGCTTCTCGAGGTGAGGCAGGGCACCCAAGGACCCTATCCAGTAGCCACAGGGATTTGGGGATTCCTATCAGTATTCAAGAGGAGTCAGGCATCGTCACCTTTTGAAGCAATGAACTCCGCGTGCCTCTCGAGGTGTCAGCGCGACTTGAGGCATTCCGTCAAAATGAGGCAGGGACCTAGGGCTTTCTCTAAGGTCTCCACAGGGGATTCAGACATCCCTTCATGTTGTGAGATGAAAGACGAGCCTGTAATCAAGCCACTGCAAGGAAAATCGGCCTCCTTTCAAGTTAGGGCTTCTCGCTGTATATTCCCCTTGAGGCAGCAAACTCGGGGTCCCTCCCACATACCTATTGCTGAGAGAAGCCTCCTCCTGAGGTGCTTCTGGGAAGTTGGCATACGTCTTGAGCCTAAGCCAGGGAATCAGCTCTCATCTCGAGACGATTTGGTGTACACGGAGCATTCCTCGAGTTGCTGTGTTGAAGTTGGTGTTCCTCTAGTCTTGGGACAGTGTTCTCGGGGCATCTCTGGAGTTGCCTGAAGGAAGTCGAGCCACCGGTCGTGTTGAATGGGGAAAGGGGAATGTCTCTGGAGTCAATGCAGGGGAATCGGGCCTCATCTCGAGTTGATTTGGGGCACATGGAGCTGCTTTGCGTTGCTGGGGTGACCTCAGGGTCCGTCTAGACTGGTGACAGTGTTCTTGGGGACTCTCTCGAGATCCATTAAGCAAGTCGAAGCTCCTGACTTGTTTGAATGGGATCACGGAATAGCTCTGCATGCACTGCAGGGGAATGGGGCCTCATCTCGCCTCTAGGGGGAAGTCTCATGGTTTTTCTCGAGTTGCGGCGGGGACCTGGGGTATGTTCTCGACTTACGGCGGGGATGGCCCTTCAAAACACGAGTTTCTTCAGTGACGTCAGGACTCCTGTGTAGTAACGAGGGACACCTCAGGAATCTCTTCGAGGCTTGGCAGGGCAAAAGGGACGCTTCTCGAGGTGAGGCAGGGCACCCAAGGACCCTTTCCAGTAGCCACAGGGATTTTGGGATTCCTATCAGTATTCAAGAGGAGTCAGGCATCGTCACCTTTTGAAGCAATGAACTCCGTGTGCCTCTCGAGGTGTCAGCGGGATGTGAGGCATTCCGTCAAAATGAGGCAGGGACCTAGGGCTTTCTCTAAGGTCTCCACAGGGGATTCAGACATCCCTTCATGTTGTGAGATGAAAGACGAGCCTGTATTCAAGCCACTGCCAGGAAATCCGGCCTCCTTTCAAGTTAGGGCTTCTCGCTGTATATTCCCCTTGAGGCAGCAAACTCGGGGTCCCTCCCACATACCTATTGCTGAGAGAAGCCTCCTCCTGAGGTGCTTCTGGGAAGTTGGCATTCGTCTTGAGCCTAAGCCAGGGAATCAGCTCTCATCTCGAGACGATTTGGGGTACACGGAGCATTCCTCGAGTTGCTGTGCTGAAGTTGGTGTTCCTCTAGACTTGGGACAGTGTTCTCGGGGCATATCTGGAGTTGCCTGAAGGAAGTCGAGCCACCGGTCGTGTTGAATGGGGAACGGGGAATGGCTCTGGAGTCAATGCAGGGGAATCGGGCCTCATCTCGAGTTGATTTGGGGCACATGGCTCTGCTTTGCTTTGCTGGGGTGACCTCAGGGTCCGTCTAGACTGGTGACAGTGTTCTTGGGGACTGTCTCGAGATCCATGAAGCAAGTCGAAGCTCCTGACTTGTTTGAATGGGATCACGGAATAGCTCTGCATGCACTGCAGGGGAATGGGGCCTCATCTCGCCTCTAGGGGGAAGTCTCATGGTTTTTCTCGAGTTGCGGCGGGGACCTGGGGTATGTTCTCGACTTACGGCGGGGATGGCCCTTCAAAACACGAGTTTCTTCAGTGACGTCAGGACTCCTGTCTAGTAACAAGGGACACCTCAGGAATCTCTTCGAGGCTTGGCAGGGCAAAAGGGACGCTTCTCGAGTTGAAGCAGGGCACCCAAGGACCCTTTCCAGTAGCCACAGGGATTTTGGGATTCCTATCAGTATTCAAGAGGAGTCAGGCATCGTCACCTTTTGAAGCAATGAACTCCGCGTGCCTCTCGAGGTGTCAGCGGGATGTGAGGCATTCCGTCAAAATGAGGCAGGGACCTAGGGCTTTCTCTAAGGTCTCCACAGGGGATTCAGACATCCCTTCATGTTGTGAGATGAAAGACGAGCCTGTATTCAAGCCACTGCAAGGAAATCCGGCCTCCTTTCAAGTTAGGGCTTCTCGCTGTATATTCCCCTTGAGGCAACAAACTCGGGATCCCTCCCACATACCTATTGCTGAGAGAAGCCTCCTCCTGAGGTGCTTCTGGGAAGTTGGCATTCGTCTTGAGCCTAAGCCAGGGAATCAGCTCTCATCTCGAGACGATTTGGGGTACACGGAGCATTCCTCGAGTTGCTGTGCTGAAGTTGGTGTTCCTGTAGACTTGGGACAGTGTTCTCGGGGCATCTCTGGAGTTGCCTGAAGGAAGTCGAGCCACCGGTCGTGTTGAATGGGGAACGGGGAATGGCTCTGGAGTCAACGCAGGGGAATCGGGCCTCATCTCGAGTTGATTTGGGGCACATGGAGCTGCTTTGCGTTGCTGGGGTGACCTCAGGGTCCGTCTAGACTGGTGACAGTGTTCTTGGGGACTGTCTCGAGATCCATTAAGCAAGTCGAAGCTCCTGACTTGTTTGACTGGGATCACGGAATAGCTCTGCATGCACTGCAGGGGAATGGGGCCTCATCTCGCCTCTAGGGGGAAGTCTCATGGTTTTTCTCGAGTTGCGGCGGGGACCTAGGGTATGTTCTCGACTTACGGCGGGGATGGCCCTTCAAAACACGAGTTTCTTCAGTGACGTCAGGACTCCTGTCTAGTAACGAGGGACACCTCAGGAATCTCTTCGAGGCTTGGCAGGGAAAAAGGGACGCTACTCGAGGTGAGGCAGGGCACCCAAGGACCCTTTCCAGTAGCCACAGGGATTTTGGGATTCCTATCAGTATTCAAGAGGAGTCAGGCATCGTCACCTTTTGAAGCAATGAACTCCGCGTGCCTCTCGAGGTGTCAGCGCGACGTGAGGCATTCCGTCAAAATGAGGCAATGACCTAGGGCTTTCTCTAAGCTCTCCACAGGGGATTCAGACATCCCTTCATGTTGTGAGATGAAAGACGAGCCTGTATTCAAGCCACTGCAAGGAAATACGGCCTCCTTTCAAGTTAGGGCTTCTCGCTGTATATTCCCCTTGAGGCAGCAAACTCGGGGTCCCTCCCACATACCTATTGCTGAGAGAAGCCTCCTCCTGAGGTGCTTCTGGGAAGTTGGCATACGTCTTGAGCCTAAGCCAGGGAATCAGCTCTCATCTCGAGACGATTTGGGGTACACGGAGCATTCCTCGAGTTGCTGTGTTGAAGTTGGTGTTCCTCTAGACTTGGGACAGTGTTCTCGGGGCATCTCTGGAGTTGCCTGAAGGAAGTCGAGCCACCGGTCTTGTTGAATGGGGAAAGGGGAATGGCTCTGGGGTCAATGCAGGGGAATCGGGCCTCATCTCGAGTTGATTTGGGGCACATGGAGCTGCTTTGCGTTGCTGGGGTGACCTCAGGGTCCGTCTAGACTGGTGACAGTGTTCTTGGGGACTGTCTCGAGATCCATTAAGCAAGTCGAAGCTCCTGACTTGTTTGAATGGGATCACGGAATAGCTCTGCATGCACTGCAGGGGAATGGGGCCTCATCTCGCCTCTAGGGGGAAGTCTCATGGTTTTTCTCGAGTTGCGGCGGGGACCTGGGGTATGTTCTCGACTTACGGCGGGGATGGCCCTTCAAAACACGAGTTTCTTCAGTGACGTCAGGACTCCTGTCTAGTAACGAGGGACACCTCAGGAATCTCTTCGAGGCTTGGCAGGGAAAAAGGGACGCTTCTCGAGGTGAGGCAGGGCACCCAAGGACCCTTTCCAGTAGCCACAGGGATTTTGGGATTCCTATCAGTATTCAAGAGGAGTCAGGCATCGTCACCTTTTGAAGCAATGAACTCCGCGTGCCTCTCGAGGTGTCAGCGGGATGTGAGGCATTCCGTCAAAATGAGGCAGGGACCTAGGGCTTTCTCTAAGGTCTCCACAGGGGATTCAGACATCCCTTCATGTTGTGAGATGAAAGACGAGCCTGTATTCAAGCCACTGCAAGGAAATCCGGCCTCCTTTCAAGTTAGGGCTTCTCGCTGTATATTCCCCTTGAGGCAGCAAACTCGGGGTCCCTCCCACATACCTATTGCTGAGAGAAGCCTCCTCCTGAGGTGCTTCTGGGAAGTTGGCATACGTCTTGAGCCTAAGCCAGGGAATCAGCTCTCATCTCGAGACGATTTGGGGTACACGGAGCATTCCTCGAGTTGCTGTGCTGAAGTTGGTGTTCCTCTAGACTTGGGACAGTGTTCTCGGGGCATCTCTGGAGTTGCCTGAAGGAAGTCGAGCCACCGGTCGTGTTGAATGGGGAACGGGGAATGGCTCTGGAGTCAATGCAGGGGAATCGGGCCTCATCTCTAGGTGATTTGGGGCACATGGAGCTGCTTTGCGTTGCTGGGGTGACCTCAGGGTCCGTCTAGACTGGTGACAGTGTTCTTAGGGACTGTCTCGAGATCCGTTAAGCAAGTCGAAGCTCCTCACTTGTTTGAATGGGATCACGGAATAGCTCTGCATGCACTGCAGGGGAATGGGGCCTCATCTCGCCTCTAGGGGGAAGTCTCATGGTTTTCTCGAGTTGCGGCGGGGTCCTGGGGTATGTTCTCGACTTACGGCGGGGATGGCCCTTCAAAACACGAGTTTCTTCAGTGACGTCAGGACTCCTGTCTAGTAACGAGGGACACCTCAGGAATCTCTTCGAGGCTTGGCAGGGCAAAAGCGATGCTTCTCGAGGTGAGGCAGGGCACCCAATTACGCTTTCCAGTAGCCACAGGGATTTTGGGATTCCTATCAGTATTCAAGAGGAGTCAGGCTTCGTCACCTTTTGAAGCAATGAACTCCGCGTGCCTCTCGAGGTGTCAGCGGGATGTGAGGCATTCCGTCAAAATGAGGCAGGGACCTAGGGCTTTCTCTAAGGTCTCCACAGGGGATTCAGACATCCCTTCATGTTGTGAGATGAAAGACGAGCCTGTATTCAAGCCACTGCAAGTAAATCCGGCCTCCTTTCAAGTTAGGGCTTCTCGCTGTATATTCCCCTTGAGGCAGCAAACTCGGGGTCCCTCCCACATACCTATTGCTGAGAGAAGCCTCCTCCTGAGATGCTTCTGGGAAGTTGGCATACGTCTTGAGCCTAAGCCAGGGTATCAGCTCTCATCTCGAGACGATTTGGGGTACACGGAGCATTCCTCGAGTTGCTGTGCTGAAGTTGGTGTTCCTCTAGACTTGGGACAGTGTTCTCGGGGCATCTCTGGAGTTGCCTGAAGGAAGTCGAGCCACCGGTCGTGTTGAATGGGGAACGGGGAATGGCTCTGGAGTCAATGCAGGGGAATCGGGCCTCATCTCGAGTTGATTTGGGGCACATGGAGCTGCTTTGCGTTGCTGGGGTGACCTCAGGGTCCGTCTAGACTGGTGACAGTGTTCTTGTGGACTGTCTCGAGATCCATTAAGCAAGTCGAAGCTCCTGACTTGTTTGAATGGGATCACGGAATAGCTCTGCATGCACTGCAGGGGAATGGGGCCTCATCTCGCCTCTAGGGGGAAGTCTCATGGTTTTTCTCGAGTTGCGGCGGGGACCTGGGGTATGTTCTCGACTTACGGCGGGGATGGCCCTTCAAAACACGAGTTTCTTCAGTGACGTCAGGACTCCTGTCTAGTAACGAGGGACACCTCAGGAATCTCTTCGAGGCTTGGCAGGGCAAAAGGGACGCTTCTCGAGGTGAGGCAGGGCACCCAAGGACCCTTTCCAGTAGTCACAGGGATTTTGGGATTCCTATCAGTATTCAAGAGGAGTCAGGCATCGTCACCTTTTGAAGCAATGAACTCCGCGTGCCTCTCGAGGTGTCAGCGGGATGTGAGGCATTCCGTCAAAATGAGGCAGGGACCTAGGGCTTTCTCTAAGGTCTCCACAGGGGATTCAGACATCCCTTCATGTTGTGAGATGAAAGACGAGCCTGTATTCAAGCCACTGCAGGGAAATCCGGCCTCCTTTCAAGTTAGGGCTTCTCGCTGTATATTCCCCTTGAGGCAGCAAACTCGGGGTCCCTCCCACATACCTATTGCTGAGAGAAGCCTCCTTCTGAGGTGCTTCTGGGAAGTTGGCATACGTCTTGAGCCTAAGCCAGGGAAACAGCTCTCATCTCGAGACGATTTGGGGTACACGGAGCATTCCTCGAGTTGCTGTGCTGAAGTTGGTGTTCCTCTAGACTTGGGACAGTGTTCTCGGGGCATCTCTGGAGTTGCCTGAAGGAAGTCGAGCCACCGGTCGTGTTGAATGGGGAACGGGGAATGGCTCTGGAGTCAATGCAGGGGAATCGGGCCTCATCTCGAGTTGATCTGGGGCACATGGAGCTGCTTTGCGTTGCTGGGGTGACCTCAGGGTCCGTCTAGACTGGTGACAGTGTTCTTGGGGACTCTCTCGAGATCCGTTAAGCAAGTCGAAGCTCCTGACTTGTTTGAATGGGATCACGGAATAGCTATGCATGCACTGCAGGGGAATGGGGCCTCATCTCGCCTCTAGGGGGAAGTCTCATGGTTTTTCTCGAGTTGCGGCGGGGACCTGGGGTATGTTCTCGACTTACGGCGGGGATGGCACTTCAAAACACGAGTTTCTTCAGTGACGTCAGGACTCCTGTCTAGTAACGAGGGACACCTCAGGAATCTCTTCGAGGCTTGGCAGGGCAAAAGGGACGCTTCTCGAGGTGAGGCAGGGCACCCAAGGACCCTTTCCAGTAGCCACAGGGATTTTGGGATTCCTATCAGTATTCAAGAGGAGTCAGGCATCGTCACCTTTTGAAGCAATGAACTCCGCGTGCCTCTCGAGGTGTCAGCGGGATGTGAGGCATTCCGTCAAAATGAGGCAGGGACCTAGGGCTTTCTCTAAGGTCTCCACAGGGGATTCAGACATCCCTTCATGTTGTGAGATGAAAGACGAGCCTGTATTCAAGCCACTGCAGGGAAATCCGGCCTCCTTTCAAGTTAGGGCTTCTCGCTGTATATTCCCCTTGAGGCAGCAAACTCGGGGTCCCTCCCACATACTTATTGCTGAGAGAATCCTCCTCCTGAGGTGCTTCTGGGAAGTTGGCATACGTCTTGAGCCTAAGCCAGGGAATCAGCTCTCATCTCGAGACGATTTGGGGTACACGGAGCATTCCTCGTGTTGCTGTGCTGAAGTTGGTGTTCCTCTAGACTTGGGACAGTGTTCTCGGGGCATCTCTGGAGTTGCCTGAAGGAAGTCGAGCCACCGGTCGTGTTGAATGGGGAACGGGGAATGGCTCTGGAGTCAATGCAGGGGAATCGGGCCTCATCTCGAGTTGATTTGGGGCACATGGAGCTGCTTTGCGTTGCTGGGGTGACCTCAGGGTCCGTCTAGACTGGTGACAGTGTTCTTGGGGACTGTCTCGAGATCCATTAAGCAAGTCGAAGCTCCTGACTTGTTTGAATGGGATCACGGAATAGCTCTGCATGCACTGCAGGGGAATGGGGCCTCATCTCGCCTCTAGGGGGAAGTCTCATGGTTTTTCTCGAGTTGCGGCGGGGACCTGGGGTATGTTCTCGACTTACGGCGGGGATGGCCCTTCAAAACACGAGTTTCTTCAGTGACGTCAGGACTCCTGTCTAGTAACGAGGGACACCTCAGGAATCTCTTCGAGGCTTGGCAGGGCAAAAGGGACGCTTCTCGAGGTGAGGCAGGGCACCCAAGGACCCTTTCCAGTAGCCACAGGGATTTTGGGATTCCTATCAGTATTCAAGAGGAGTCAGGCATCGTCACCTTTTGAAGCAATGAACTCCGCGGGCCTCTCGAGGTGTCAGCGGGATGTGAGGCATTCCGTCAAAATGAGGCAGGGACCTAGGGCTTTCTCTAAGGTCTCCACAGGGGATTCAGACATCCCTTCATGTTGTGAGATGAAAGACGAGCCTGTATTCAAGCCACTGCAAGGAAATCCGGCCTCCTTTCAAGTTAGGGCTTCTCGCTGTATATTCCCCTTGAGGCAGCAAACTCGGGGTCCCTCCCACATACCTATTGCTGAGAGAAGCCTCCTCCTGAGGTGCTTCTGGGAAGTTGGCATACGTCTTGAGCCTAAGCCAGGGAATCAGCTCTCATCTCGAGACGATTTGGGGTACACGGAGCATTCCTCGAGTTGCTGTGCTGAAGTTGGTGTTCCTCTAGACTTGGGACAGTGTTCTCGGGGCATCTCTGGAGTTGCCTGAAGGAAGTCGAGCCACCGGTCGTGTTGAATGGGGAACGGGGAATGGCTCTGGAGTCAATGCAGGGGAATCGGGCCTCATCTCGAGTTGATTTGGGGCACATGGAGCTGCTTTGCGTTGCTGGGGTGACCTCAGGGTCCGTCTAGACTGGTGACAGTGTTCTTGGGGACTCTCTCGAGATCCATTAAGCAAGTCGAAGCTCCTGACTTGTTTGAATGGGATCACGGAATAGCTCTGCATGCACTGCAGGGGAATGGGGCCTCATCTCGCCTCTAGGGGGAAGTCTCATGGTTTTTCTCGAGTTGCGGCGGGGACCTGGGGTATGTTCTCGACTTACGGCGGGTTTGGCACTTCAAAACACGAGTTTCTTCAGTGACGTCAGGACTCCTGTCTAGTAACGAGGGACACCTCAGGAATCTCTTCGAGGCTTGGCAGGGCAAAAGGGACGCTTCTCGAGGTGAGGCAGGGCACCCAAGGACCATTTCCAGTAGCCACAGGGATTTTGGGATTCCTATCAGTATTTAAGAGGAGTCAGGCATCGTCACCTTTTGAAGCAATGAACTCCGCGTGCCTCTCGAGGTGTCAGCGGGATGTGAGGCATTCCGTCAAAATGAGGCAGGGACCTAGGTCTTTCTCTAATGTCTCCACAGGGGATTCAGACATCCCTTCATGTTGTGAGATGAAAGACGAGCCTGTATTCAAGCCACTGCAAGGAAATCCGGCCTCCTTTCAAGTTAGGGCTTCTCGCTGTATATTCCCCTTGAGGCAGCAAACTCGGGGTCCCTCCCACATACCTATTGCTGAGAGAAGCCTCCTCCTGAGGTGCTTCTGGGAAGTTGGCATACGTCTTGAGCCTAAGCCAGGGAATCAGCTCTCATCTCGAGACGATTTGGGGTACACGGAGCATTCCTCGAGTTGCTGTGCTGAAGTTGTTGTTCCTCTAGGCTTGGGACAGTGTTCTCGGGGCATCTCTGGAGTTGCCTGAAGGAAGTCGAGCCACCGGTCCTGCTGAATGGGGAACGGGGAATGGCTCTGGAGTCAATGCAGGGGAATCGGGCCTCATCTCGAGTTGATTTGGGGCACATGGAGCTGCTTTGCGTTGCTGGGGTGACCTCAGGGTCCGTCTAGACTGGTGACAGTGTTCTTGGGGACTGTCTCGAGATCCGTTAAGCAAGTCGAAACTCCTGACTTGTTTGAATGGGATCACGGAATAGCTCTGCATGCACTGCAGGGGAATGGGGCCTCATCTCGCCTCTAGGGGGAAGTCTCATGGTTTTTCTCGAGTTGCGGCGGGGACCTGGGGTATGTTCTCGACTTACGGCGGGGATGGCCCTTCAAAACACGAGTTTCTTCAGTGACGTCAGGACTCCTGTCTAGTAACGAGGGACACCTCAGGAATCTCTTCGAGGCTTGGCAGGGCAAAAGGGACGCTTCTCGAGGTGAGGCAGGGCACCCAAGGACCCTTTCCAGTAGCCACAGGGATTTTGGGATTCCTATCAGTATTCAAGAGGAGTCAGGCATCGTCACCTTTTGAAGCAATGAACTCCGCGTGCCTCTCGAGGTGTCAGTGGGATGTGAGGCATTCCGTCAAAATGAGGCAGGGACCTAGGGCTTTCTCTAAGGTCTCCACAGGGTATTCAGACATCCCTTCATGTTGTGAGATGAAAGACGAGCCTGTATTCAAGCCACTGCAAGGAAATCCGGCCTCCTTTCAAGTTAGGGCTTCTCGCTGTATATTCCCCTTGAGGCAGCAAACTCGGGGTCCCTCCCACATACTTATTGCTGAGACAAGCCTCCTCCTGAGGTGCTTCTGGGAAGTTGGCATACGTCTTGAGCCTAAGCCAGGGAATCAGCTCTCATCTCGAGACAATTTGGGGTACACGGAGCATTCCTCGTGTTGCTGTGCTGAAGTTGGTGTTCCTCTAGACTTGGGACAGTGTTCTTGGGGCATCTCTGGAGTTGCCTGAAGGAAGTCGAGCCACCGGTCGTGTTGAATGGCGAAAGGGGAATGGCTCTGGAGTCAATGCAGGGGAATCGGGCCTCATCTCGTGTTGATTTGGGGCACATGGAGCTGCATTGCATTGCTGGGGTGACCTCAGGGTCCATCTAGACTCGTGACAGTGTTCTTGGGGACTGTCTCGAGATCCATTAAGCAAGTCGAAGCTCCTGACTTGTTTGAATGGGATCACGGAATAGCTCTGCATGCACTGCAGGGGAATGGGGCCTCATCTCGCCTCTAGGGGGAAGTCTCATGGTTTTTCTCGAGTTGCGGCGGGGACCTGGGGTATGTTCTCGACTTACGGCGGGGATGGCCCTTCAAAACACGAGTTTCTTCAGTGACGTCAGGACTCCTGCCTAGTAACGAGGGACACCTCAGGAATCTCCTCGAGGCTTGGCAGGGCAAAAGGGACGCTTCTCGAGGTGAGGCAGGGCACCCAAGGACCCTTTCCAGTAGCCACAGGGATTTTGGAATTCCTATCAGTATTCAAGAGGAGTCAGGCATCGTCACCTTTTGAAGCAATGAACTCCGCGTGCCTCTCGAGGTGTCAGCGGGATGTGAGGCATTCCGTCAAAATGAGGCAGGGACCTAGGGCTTTCTCTAAGGTCTCCACAGGGGATTCAGACATCCCTTCATGTTGTGAGATGAAAGACGAGCCTGTATTCAAGCCACTGCAAGGAAATCCGGCCTCCTATCAAGTTAGGGCTTCTCGCTGTATATTCCCCTTGAGGCAGCAAACTCGGGGTCCCTCCCACATACCTATTGCTGAGAGAAGCCTCCTCCTGAGGTGCTTCTGGGAAGTTGGCATATGTCTTGAGCCTAAGCCAGGGAATCATCTCTCATCTCGAGACGATTTGGGGTACACGGAGCATTCCTCGAGTTGCTGTGCTGAAGTTGGTGTTCCTCTAGACTTCGGACAGTGTTCTCGGGGCATCTCTGGAGTTGCCTGAAGGAAGTCGAGCCACCGGTCGTGCTGAATGGGGAACGGGGAATGGCTCTGGAGTCAATGCAGGGGAATCGGGCCTCATCTCGAGTTGGTTTGGGGCACATGGAGCTGCTTTGCGTTGCTGGGGTGACCTCAGGGTCCGTCTAGACTGCTGACAGTGTTCTTGGGGACTGTCTCGAGATCCATGAAGCAAGTCGAAGCTCCTGACTTGTTTGAATGGGATCACGGAATAGCTCTGCATGCACTGCAGGGGAATGGGGCCTCATCTCGCCTCTAGGGGGAAGTCTCATGGTTTTTCTCGTGTTGCGGCGGGGACCTGGGTTATGTTCTCGACTTACGGCGGGGATGGCCCTTCAAAACACGAGTTTCTTCAGTGACGTCAGGACTCCTGTCTAGTAACGAGGGACACCTCAGGAATCTCTTCGAGGCTTGGCAGGGCAAAAGGGACGCTTCTCGAGGTGAGGCAGGGCACCCAAGGACCCATTCCAGTAGCCACAGGGATTTTGGGATTCCTATCAGTATTCAAGAGGAGTCAGGCATCATCACCTTTTGAAGCAATGAACTCCGCGTGCCTCTCGAGGTGTCAGCGGGATGTGAGGCATTCCGTCAAAATGAGGCAGGGACCTAGGGCTTTCTCTAAGGTCTCCACAGGGGATTCAGACATCCCTTCATGTTGTGAGATGAAAGACGAGCCTGTATTCAAGCCACTGCAAGGAAATCCGGCCTCCTTTCAAGTTAGGGCTTCTCGCTGTATATTCCCCTTGAGGCAGCAAACTCGGGGTCCCTCCCACATACCTATTGCTGAGAGAACCCTCCTCCTGAGGTGCTTCTGGGAAGTTGGCATACGTCTTGAGCCTAAGCCAGGGAATCAGCTCTCATCTCGAGACGATTTGGGGTACACGGAGCATTCCTCGAGTTGCTGTGCTGAAGTTGGTGTTCCTCTAGACTTGGGACAGTGTTCTCGGGGCATCTCTGGAGTTGCCTGAAGGAAGTCGAGCCACCGGTCGTGTTGAATGGGGAACGGGGAATGGCTCTGGAGTCAATGCAGGGAATCGGGCCTCATCTCGAGTTGATTTGGGGCACATGGAGCTGCTTTGCGTTGCTGGGGTGACCTCAGGGTCCGTCTAGTCTGGTGACAGTGTTCTTGGGGACTGTCTCGAGATCCATTAAGCAAGTCGAAGCTCCTGACTTGTTTGAATGGGATCACGGAATAGCTCTGCATGCACTGCAGGGGAATGGGGCCTCATCTCGCCTCTAGGGGGAAGTCTCATGGTTTTTCTCGAGTTGCGGCGGGGACCTGGGTTATCTTCTCGACTTACAGCGGGGATGGCCCTTCAAAACACGAGTTTCTTCAGTGACGTCAGGACTCCTGTCTAGTAACGAGGGACACCTCAGGAATCTCTTCGAGGCTTGGCAGGGCAAAAGGGACGCTTCTCGAGGTGAGGCAGGGCACCCAAGGACCCTATCCAGTAGCCACAGGGATTTGGGGATTCCTATCAGTATTCAAGAGGAGTCAGGCATCGTCACCTTTTGAAGCAATGAACTCCGCGTGCCTCTCGAGGTGTCAGCGCGACGTGAGGCATTCCGTCAAAATGAGGCAGGGACCTAGGGCTTTCTCTAAGGTCTCCACAGGGGATTCAGACATCCCTTCATGTTGTGAGATGAAAGACGAGCCTGTAATCAAGCCACTGCAAGGAAAATCGGCCTCCTTTCAAGTTAGGGCTTCTCGCTGTATATTCCCCTTGAGGCAACAAACTCGGGGTCCCTCCCACATACCTATTGCTGAGAGAAGCCTCCTCCTGAGGTGCTTCTGGGAAGTTGGCATACGTCTTGAGCCTAAGCCAGGGAATCAGCTCTCATCTCGAGACGATTTGGTGTACACGGAGCATTCCTCGAGTTGCTGTGTTGAAGTTGGTGTTCCTCTAGTCTTGGGACAGTGTTCTCGGGGCATCTCTGGAGTTGCCTGAAGGAAGTCGAGCCACCGGTCGTGTTGAATGGGGAAAGGGGAATGGCTCTGGAGTCAATGCAGGGGAATCGGGCCTCATCTCGAGTTGATTTGGGGCACATGGAGCTGCTTTGCGTTGCTGGGGTGACCTCAGGGTCCGTCTAGACTGGTGACAGCGTTCTTGGGGACTCTCTCGAGATCCATTAAGCAAGTCGAAGCTCCTGACTTGTTTGAATGGGATCACGGAATAGCTCTGCATGCACTGCAGGGGAATGGGGCCTCATCTCGCCTCTAGGGGGAAGTCTCATGGTTTTTCTCGAGTTGCGGCGGGGACCTGGGGTATGTTCTCGACTTACCGCGGGGATGGCACTTCAAAACACGAGTTTCTTCAGTGACGTCAAGACTCCTGTGTAGTAACGAGGGACACCTCAGGAATCTCTTCGAGGCTTGGCAGGGCAAAAGGGACGCTTCTCGAGGTGAGGCAGGGCACCCAAGGACCCTTTCCAGTAGCCACAGGGATTTTGGGATTCCTATCAGTATTCAAGAGGAGTCAGGCATCGTCACCTTTTGAAGCAATGAACTCCGCGTGCCTCTCGAGGTGTCAGCGGGATGTGAGGCATTCCGTCAAAATGAGGCAGGGACCTAGGGCTTTCTCTAAGGTCTCCACAGGGGATTCAGACATCCCTTCATGTTGTGAGATGAAAGACGAGCCTGTATTCAAGCCACTGCAAGGAAATCCGGCCTCCTTTCAAGTTAGGGCTTCTCGCTGTATATTCCCCTTGAGGCAGCAAACTCGGGGTCCCTCCCACATACCTATTGCTGAGAGAAGCCTCCTCCTGAGGTGCTTCTGGGAAGTTGGCATTCGTCTTGAGCCTAAGCCAGGGAATCAGCTCTCATCTCGAGACGATTTGGGGTACACGGAGCATTCCTCGAGTTGCTGTGCTGAAGTTGGTGTTCCTCTAGACTTGGGACAGTGTTCTCGGGGCATCTCTGGAGTTGCCTGAAGGAAGTCGAGCCACCGGTCGTGTTGAATGGGGAACGGGGAATGGCTCTGGAGTCAATGCAGGGGAATCGGGCCTCATCTCGAGTTGATTTGGGGCACATGGAGCTGCTTTGCTTTGCTGGGGTGACCTCAGGGTCCGTCTAGACTGGTGACAGTGTTCTTGGGGACTGTCTCGAGATCCATGAAGCAAGTCGAAGCTCCTGACTTGTTTGAATGGGATCACGGAATAGCTCTGCATGCACTGCAGGGGAATGGGGCCTCATCTCGCCTCTAGGGGGAAGTCTCATGGTTTTTCTCGAGTTGCGGCGGGGACCTGGGGTATGTTCTCGACTTACGGCGGGGATGGCCCTTCAAAACACGAGTTTCTTCAGTGACGTCAGGACTCCTTTCTAGTAACAAGGGACACCTCAGGAATCTCTTCGAGGCTTGGCAGGGCAAAAGGGACGCTTCTCGAGTTGAAGCAGGGCACCCAAGGACCCTTTCCAGTAGCCACAGGGATTTTGGGATTCCTATCAGTATTCAAGAGGAGTCAGGCATCGTCACCTTTTGAAGCAATGAACTCCGCGTGCCTCTCGAGGTGTCAGCGGGATGTGAGGCATTCCGTCAAAATGAGGCAGGGACCTAGGGCTTTCTCTAAGGTCTCCACAGGGGATTCAGACATCCCTTCATGTTGTGAGATGAAAGACGAGCCTGTATTCAAGCCACTGCAAGGAAATCCGGCCTCCTTTCAAGTTAGGGCTTCTCGCTATACATTCCCCTTGAGAAAGCAAACTCGGGGTCCCTCCCACATACCTATTGCTGAGAGAAGCCTCCTCCTGAGGTGCTTCTGGGAAGTTGGCATACGTCTTGAGCCTAAGCCAGGGAATCAGCTCTCATCTCGAGACGATTTGTGGTACACGGAGCATTCCTCGAGTTGCTGTGCTGAAGTTGGTGTTCCTCTAGACTTGGGACAGTGTTCTCGGGGCATCTCTGGAGTTGCCTGAAGGAAGTCGAGCCACCGGTCGTGTTGAATGGGGAACGGGGAATGGCTCTGGAGTCAACGCAGGGGAATCGGGCCTCATCTCGAGTTGATTTGGGGCACATGGAGCTGCTTTGCGTTGCTGGGGTGACCTCAGGGTCCGTCTAGACTGGTGACAGTGTTCTTGGGGACTGTCTCGAGATCCATTAAGCAAGTCGAAGCTCCTGACTTGTTTGACTGGGATCACGGAATAGCTCTGCATGCACTGCAGGGGAATGGGGCCTCATCTCGCCTCTAGGGGGAAGTCTCATGGTTTTTCTCGAGTTGCGGCGAGGACCTGGGGTATGTTCTCGACTTACGGCGGGGATGGCCCTTCAAAACACGAGTTTCTTCAGTGACGTCAGGACTCCTGTCTAGTAACGAGGGACACCTCAGGAATCTCTTCGAGGCTTGGCAGGGAAAAAGGGACGCTTCTCGAGGTGAGGCAGGGCACCCAAGGACCCTTTCCAGTAGCCACAGGGATTTTGGGATTCCTATCAGTATTCAAGAGGAGTCAGGCATCGTCACCTTTTGAAGCAATGAACTCCGCGTGCCTCTCGAGGTGTCAGCGCGACGTGAGGCATTCCGTCAAAATGAGGCAATGACCTAGGGCTTTCTCTAAGCTCTCCACAGGGGATTCAGACATCCCTTCATGTTGTGAGATGAAAGACGAGCCTGTATTCAAGCCACTGCAAGGAAATCCGGCCTCCTTTCAAGTTAGGGCTTCTCGCTGTATATTCCCCTTGAGGCAGCAAACTCGGGGTCCCTCCCACATACCTATTGCTGAGAGAAGCCTCCTCCTGAGGTGCTTCTGGGAAGTTGGCATACGTCTTGAGCCTAAGCCAGGGAATCAGCTCTCATCTCGAGACGATTTGGGGTACACGGAGCATTCCTCGAGTTGCTGTGTTGAAGTTGGTGTTCCTCTAGACTTGGGACAGTGTTCTCGGGGCATCTCTGGAGTTGCCTGAAGGAAGTCGAGCCACCGGTCTTGTTGAATGGGGAAAGGGGAATGGCTCTGGGGTCAATGCAGGGGAATCGGGCCTCATCTCGAGTTGATTTGGGGCACATGGAGCTGCTTTGCGTTGCTGGGGTGACCTCAGGGTCCGTCTAGACTGGTGACAGTGTTCTTGGGGACTGTCTCGAGATCCATTAAGCAAGTCGAAGCTCCTGACTTGTTTGAATGGGATCACGGAATAGCTCTGCATGCACTGCAGGGGAATGGGGCCTCATCTCGCCTCTAGGGGGAAGTCTCATGGTTTTTCTCGAGTTGCGGCGGGGACCTGGGGTATGTTCTCGACTTACGGCGGGGATGGCCCTTCAAAACACGAGTTTCTTCAGTGACGTCAGGACTCCTGTGTACTAACGAGGGACACCTCAGGAATCTCTTCGAGGCTTGGCAGGGCAAAAGGGACGCTTCTCGAGGTGAGGCAGGGCACCCAAGGACCCTTTCAAGTAGCCACAGGGATTTTGGGATTCCTATCAGTATTCAAGAGGAGTCAGGCATCGTCACCTTTTGAAGCAATGAACTCCGCGTGCCTCTCGAGGTGTCAGCGGGATGTGAGGCATTCCGTCAAAATGAGGCAGGGACCTAGGGCTTTCTCTAAGGTCTCCACAGGGGATTCAGACATCCCTTCATGTTGTGAGATGAACGACGAGCCTGTATTCAAGCCACTGCAAGGAAATCCGGCCTCCTTTCAAGTTAGGGCTTCTCGCTGTATATTCCCCTTGAGGCAGCAAACTCGGGGTCCCTCCCACATACCTATTGCTGAGAGAAGCCTCCTCCTGAGGTGCTTCTGGGAAGTTGGCATACGTCTTGAGCCTAAGCCAGGGAATCAGCTCTCATCTCGAGACGATTTGGGGTACACGGAGCATTCCTCGAGTTGCTGTGCTGAAGTTGGTGTTCCTCTAGACTTGGGACAGTGTTCTCGGGGCATCTCTGGAGTTGCCTGAAGGAAGTCGAGCCACCGGTCGTGTTGAATGGGGAACCGGGAATGGCTCTGGAGTCAATGCAGGGGAATCGGGCCTCATCTCGAGGTGATTTGGGGCACATGGAGCTGCTTTGCGTTGCTGGGGTGACCTCAGGGTCCGTCTAGACTGGTGACAGTGTTCTTAGGGACTGTCTCGAGATCCATTAAGCAAGTCGAAGCTCCTGACTTGTTTGAATGGGATCACGGAATAGCTCTGCATGCACTGCAGGGGAATGGGGCCTCATCTCGCCTCTAGGGGGAAGTCTCATGGTTTTCTCGAGTTGCGGCGGGGACCTGGGGTATGTTCTCGACTTACGGCGGGGATGGCCCTTCAAAACACGAGTTTCTTCAGTGACGTCAGGACTCCTGTCTAGTAACGAGGGACACCTCAGGAATCTCTTCGAGGCTTGGCAGGGCAAAAGCGATGCTTCTCGAGGTGAGGCAGGGCACCCAATTACCCTTTCCAGTAGCCACAGGGATTTTGGGATTCCTATCAGTATTCAAGAGGAGTCAGGCTTGGTCTCCTTTTGAAACAATGAACTCCGCGTGCCTCTCGAGGTGTCAGCGGGATGTGAGGCATTCCGTCAAAATGAGGCAGGGACCTAGGGCTTTCTCTAAGGTCTCCACAGGGGATTCAGACATCCCTTCATGTTGTGAGATGAAAGACGAGCCTGTATTCAAGCCACTGCAAGGAAATCCGGCCTCCTTTCAAGTTAGGGCTTCTCGCTGTATATTCCCCTTGAGGCAGCAAACTCGGGGTCCCTCCCACATACCTATTGCTGAGAGAAGCCTCCTCCTGAGGTGCTTCTGGGAAGTTGGCATACGTCTTGAGCCTAAGCCAGGGTATCAGCTCTCATCTTGAGACGATTTGGGGTACACGGAGCATTCCTCGAGTTGCTGTGCTGAAGTTGGTGTTCCTCTAGACTTGGGACAGTGTTCTCGGGGCATCTCTGGAGTTGCCTGAAGGAAGTCGAGCCACGGGTCGTGTTGAATGGGGAACGGGGAATGGCTCTGGAGTCAATGCAGGGGAATCGGGCCTCATCTCGAGTTGATTTGGGGCACATGGGGCTGCTTTGCGTTGCTGGGGTGACCTCAGGGTCCGTCTAGACTGGTGACAGTGTTCTTGGGGACTGTCTCGAGATCCATTAAGCAAGTCGAAGCTCCTGACTTGTTTGAATGGGATCACGGAATAGCTCTGCATGCACTGCAGGGGAATGGGGCCTCATCTCGCCTCTAGGGGGAAGTCTCATGGTTTTTCTCGAGTTGCGGCGGGGACCTGGGGTATGTTCTCGACTTACGGCGGGGATGGCCCTTCAAAACACGAGTTTCTTCAGTGACGTCAGGACTCCTGTGTAGTAACGAGGGACACCTCAGGAATCTCTTCGAGGCTTGGCAGGGCAAAAGGGACGCTTCTCGAGGTGAGGCAGGGCACCCAAGGACCCTTTCCAGTAGCCACAGGGATTTTGGGATTCCTATCAGTATTCAAGAGGAGTCAGGCATCGTCACCTTTTGAAGCAATGAACTCCGCGTGCCTCTCGAGGTGTCAGCGGGATGTGAGGCATTCCGTCAAAATGAGGCAGGGACCTAGGGCTTTCTCTAAGGTCTCCACAGGGGATTCAGACATCCCTTCATGTTGTGAGATGAAAGACGAGCCTGTATTCAAGCCACTGCAAGGAAATCCGGCCTCCTTTCAAGTTAGGGCTTCTCGCTGTATATTCCCATTGAGGCAGCAAACTCGGGGTCCCTCCCACATACCTATTGCTGAGAGAAGCCTCCTCCTGAGGTGCTTCTGGGAAGTTGGCATACGTCTTGAGCCTAAGCCAGGGAAACAGCTCTCATCTCGAGACGATTTGGGGTACACGGAGCATTCCTCGAGTTGCTGTGCTGAAGTTGGTGTTCCTCTAGACTTGGGACAGTGTTCTCGGGGCATCTCTGGAGTTGCCTGAAGGAAGTCGAGCCACCGGTCGTGTTGAATGGGGAACGGGGAATGGCTCTGGAGTCAATGCAGGGGAATCGGGCCTCATCTCGAGTTGATTTGGGGCACATGGAGCTGCTTTGCGTTGCTGGGGTGACCTCAGGGTCCGTCTAGACTGGTGACAGTGTTCTTGGGGACTCTCTCGAGATCCGTTAAGCAAGTCGAAGCTCCTGACTTGTTTGAATGGGATCACGGAATAGCTCTGCATGCACTGCAGGGGAATGGGGCCTCATCTCGCCTCTAGGGGGAAGTCTCATGGTTTTTCTCGAGTTGCGGCGGGGACCTGGGGTATGTTCTCGACTTACGGCGGGGATGGCACTTCAAAACACGAGTTTCTTCAGTGACGTCAGGACTCCTGTCTAGTAACGAGGGACACCTCAGGAATCTCTTCGAGGCTTGGCAGGGCAAAAGGGACGCTTCTCGAGGTGAGGCAGGGCACCCAAGGACCCTTTCCAGTAGCCACAGGGATTTTGGGATTCCTATCAGTATTTAAGAGGAGTCAGGCATCGTCACCTTTTGAAGCAATGAACTCCGCGTGCCTCTCGAGGTGTCAGCGGGATGTGAGGCATTCCGTCAAAATGAGGCAGGGACCTAGGTCTTTCTCTAAGGTCTCCACAGGGGATTCAGACATCCCTTCATGTTGTGAGATGAAAGACGAGCCTGTATTCAAGCCACTGCAAGGAAATCCGGCCTCCTTTCAAGTTAGGGCTTCTCGCTGTATATTCCCCTTGAGGCAGCAAACTCGGGGTCCCTCCCACATACCTATTGCTGAGAGAAGCCTCCTCCTGAGGTGCTTCTGGGAAGTTGGCATACGTCTTGAGCCTAAGCCAGGGAATCAGCTCTCATCTCGAGACGATTTGGGGTACACGGAGCATTCCTCGAGTTGCTGTGCTGAAGTTGGTGTTCCTCTAGGCTTGGGACAGTGTTCTCGGGGCATCTCTGGAGTTGCCTGAAGGAAGTCGAGCCACCGGTCGTGCTGAATGGGGAACGGGGAATGGCTCTGGAGTCAATTCAGGGGAATCGGGCCTCATCTCGGGTTGATTTGGGGCACATGGAGCTGCTTTGCGTTGCTGGGGTGACCTCAGGGTCCGTCTAGACTGGTGACAGTGTTCTTGGGGACTGTCTCGAGATCCATTAAGCAAGTCGAAGCTCCTGACTTGTTTGAATGGGATCACGGAATAGCTCTGCATGCACTGCAGGGGAATGGGGCCTCATCTCGCCTCTAGGGGGAAGTCTCATGGTTTTTCTCGAGTTGCGGCGGGACCTGGGGTATGTTCTCGACTTACGGCGGGGATGGCCCTTCAAAACACGAGTTTCTTCAGTGACGTCAGGACTCCTGTCTAGTAACGAGGGACACCTCAGGAATCTCTTCGAGGCTTGGCAGGGCAAAAGGGACGCTTCTCGAGGTGAGGCAGGGCACCCAAGGACCCTTTCCAGTAGCCACAGGGATTTTGGGATTCCTATCAGTATTCAAGAGGAGTCAGGCATCGTCACCTTTTGAAGCAATGAACTCCGCGTGCCTCTCGAGGTGTCAGTGGGATGTGAGGCATTCCGTCAAAATGAGGCAGGGACCTAGGGCTTTCTCTAAGGTCTCCACAGGGGATTCAGACATCCCTTCATGTTGTGAGATGAAAGACGAGCCTGTATTCAAGCCACTGCAAGGAAATCCGGCCTCCTTTCAAGTTAGGGCTTCTCGCTGTATATTCCCCTTGAGGCAGCAAACTCGGGGTCCCTCCCACATACTTATTGCTGAGAGAAGCCTCCTCCTGAGGTGCTTCTGGGAAGTTGGCATACGTCTTGAGCCTAAGCCAGGAAATCAGCTCTCATCTCGAGACGATTTGTGGTACACGGAGCATTCCTCGAGTTGCTGTGCTGAAGTTGGTGTTCCTCTAGACTTGGGACAGTGTTCTCGGGGCATCTCTGGAGTTGCCTGAAGGAAGTCGAGCCACCGGTCGTGTTGAATGGCGAAGGGGGAATGGCTCTCGAGTCAATGCAGGGGAATCGGGCCTCATCTCGAGTTGATTTGAGGCACATGGAGCTGCTTTGCGTTGCTGGGGTGACCTCAGGGTCCATCTAGACTCGTGACAGTGTTCTTGGGGACTGTCTCGAGATCCATTAAGCAAGTCGAAGCTCCTGACTTGTTTGCCTGGGATCACGGAATAGCTCTGCATGCACTGCAGGGGAATGGGGCCTCATCTCGCCTCTAGGGGGAAGTCTCATGGTTTTTCTCGAGTTGCGGCGGGGACCTGGGGTATGTTCTCGACTTACGGCGGGGATGGCCCTTCAAAACACGAGTTTCTTCAGTGACGTCAGGACTCCTGCCTAGTAATGAGGGACACCTCAGGAATCTCTTCGAGGCTTGGCAGGGCAAAAGGGACGCTTCTCGAGGTGAGGCAGGGCACCCAAGGACCCTTTCCAGTAGCCACAGGGATTTTGGAATTCCTATCAGTATTCAAGAGGAGTCAGGCATCGTCACCTTTTGAAGCAATGAACTCCGCATGCCTCTCGAGGTGTCAGCGGGATGTGAGGCATTCCGTCAAAATGAGGCAGGGACCTAGGGCTTTCTCTAAGGTCTCCACAGGGGATTCAGACATCCCTTCATGTTGTGAGATGAAAGACGAGCCTGTATTCAAGCCACTGCAAGGAAATCCGGCCTCCTTTCAAGTTAGGGCTTCTCGCTGTATATTCCCCTTGAGGCAGCAAACTCGGGGTCCCTCCCACATACCTATTGCTGAGAGAAGCCTCCTCCTGAGGTGCTTCTGGGAAGTTGGCATATGTCTTGAGCCTAAGCCAGGGAATCATCTCTCATCTCGAGACGATTTGGGGTACACGGAGCATTCCTCGAGTTGCTGTGCTGAAGTTGGTGTTCCTCTAGACTTGGGACAGTGTTCTCGGGGCATCTCTGGAGTTGCCTGAAGGAAGTCGAGCCACCGGTCGTGCTGAAAGGGGAACGGGGAATGGCTCTGGAGTCAATGCAGGGGAATCGGGCCTCATCTCGAGTTGATTTGGGGCACATGGAGCTGCTTTGCGTTGCTGGGGTGACCTCAGGGTCCGTCTAGACTGGTGACAGTGTTCTTGGGGACTGTCTCGAGATCCATTAAGCAAGTCGAAGCTCCTGACTTGTTTGAATGGGATCACGGAATAGCTCTGCATGCACTGCAGGGGAATGGGGCCTCATCTCGCCTCTAGGGGGAAGTCTCATGGTTTTTCTCGAGTTGCGGCGGGGACCTGGGGTATGTTCTCGACTTACGGCGGGGATGGCCCTTCAAAACACGAGTTTCTTCAGTGACGTCAGGACTCCTGTCTAGTAACGAGGGACACCTCAGGAATCTCTTCGAGGCTTGGCAGTGCAAAAGGGACGCTTCTCGAGGTGAGGCAGGGCACCCAAGGACCCTTTCCAGTAGCCACAGGGATTTTGGGATTCCTATCAGTATTCAAGAGGAGTCAGGCATCGTCACCTTTTGAAGCAATGAACTCCGCGTGCCTCTCGAGGTGTCAGCGGGATGTGAGGCATTCCGTCAAAATGAGGCAGGGACCTAGGGCTTTCTCTAAGGTCTCCACAGGGGATTCAGACATCCCTTCATGTTGTGAGATGAAAGACGAGCCTGTATTCAAGCCACTGCAAGGAAATCCGGCCTCCTTTCAAGTTAGGGCTTCTCGCTGTATATTCCCCTTGAGGCAGCAAACTCGGGGTCCCTCCCACATAACTATTGCTGAGAGAAGCCTCCTCCTGAGGTGCTTCTGGGAAGTTGGCATACGTCTTGAGCCTAAGCCAGGGAATCAGCTCTCATCTCGAGACGATTTGGGGTACACGGAGCATTCCTCGAGTTGCTGTGCTGAAGTTGGTGTTCCTCTAGACTTGGGACAGTGTTCTCGGGGCATCTCTGGAGTTGCCTGAAGGAAGTCGAGCCACCGGTCGTGTTGAATGGGGAACGGGGAATGGCTCTGGAGTCAATGCAGGGAATCGGGCCTCATCTCGAGTTGATTTGGGGCACATGGAGCTGCTTTGCGTTGCTGGGGTGACCTCAGGGTCCGTCTAGTCTGGTGACAGTGTTCTTGGGGACTGTCTCGAGATCCATTAAGCAAGTCGAAGCTCCTGACTTGTTTGAATGGGATCACGGAATAGCTCTGCATGCACTGCAGGGGAATGGGGCCTCATCTCGCCTCTAGGGGGAAGTCTCATGGTTTTTCTCGAGTTGCGGCGGGGACCTGGGTTATCTTCTCGACTTACAGCGGGGATGGCCCTTCAAAACACGAGTTTCTTCAGTGACGTCAGGACTCCTGTCTAGTAACGAGGGACACCTCAGGAATCTCTTCGAGGCTTGGCAGGGCAAAAGGGACGCTTCTCGAGGTGAGGCAGGGCACCCAAGGACCCTTTCCAGTAGCCACAGGGATTTTGGGATTCCTATCAGTATTCAAGAGGAGTCAGGCATCGTCACCTTTTGAAGCAATGAACTCCGCGTGCCTCTCGAGGTGTCAGCGCGACGTGAGGCATTCCGTCAAAATGAGGCAGGGACCTAGGGCTTTCTCTAAGGTCTCCACAGGGGATTCAGACATCCCTTCATGTTGTGAGATGAAAGACGAGCCTGTAATCAAGCCACTGCAAGGAAAATCGGCCTCCTTTCAAGTTAGGGCTTCTCGCTGTATATTCCCCTTGAGGCAGCAAACTCGGGGTCCCTCCCACATACCTATTGCTGAGAGAAGCCTCCTCCTGAGGTGCTTCTGGGAAGTTGGCATACGTCTTGAGCCTAAGCCAGGGAATCAGCTCTCATCTCGAGACGATTTGGTGTACACGGAGCATTCCTCGAGTTGCTGTGTTGAAGTTGGTGTTCCTCTAGTCTTGGGACAGTGTTCTCGGGGCATCTCTGGAGTTGCCTGAAGGAAGTCGAGCCACCGGTCGTGTTGAATGGGGAAAGGGGAATGGCTCTGGAGTCAATGCAGGGGAATCGGGCCTCATCTCGAGTTGATTTGGGGCACATGGAGCTGCTTTGCGTTGCTGGGGTGACCTCAGGGTCCGTCTAGACTGGTGACAGTGTTCTTGGGGACTCTCTCGAGATCCATTAAGCAAGTCGAAGCTCCTGACTTGTTTGAATGGGATCACGGAATAGCTCTGCATGCACTGCAGGGGAATGGGGCCTCATCTCGCCTCTAGGGGGAAGTCTCATGGTTTTTCTCGAGTTGCGGCGGGGACCTGGGGTATGTTCTCGACTTACGGCGGGGATGGCCCTTCAAAACACTAGTTTCTTCAGTGACGTCACGACTCCTGTGTAGTAACGAGGGACACCTCAGGAATCTCTTCGAGGCTTGGCAGGGCAAAAGGGACGCTTCTCGAGGTGAGGCAGGGCACCCAAGGACCCTTTCCAGTAGCCACAGGGATTTTGGGATTCCTATCAGTATTCAAGAGGAGTCAGGCATCGTCACCTTTTGAAGCAATGAACTCCGCGTGCCTCTCGAGGTGTCAGCGGGATGTGAGGCATTCCGTCAAAATGAGGCAGGGACCTAGGGCTTTCTCTAAGGTCTCCACAGGGGATTCAGACATCCCTTCATGTTGTGAGATGAAAGACGAGCCTGTATTCAAGCCACTGCAAGGAAATCCGGCCTCCTTTCAAGTTAGGGCTTCTCGCTGTATATTCCCCTTGAGGCAGCAAACTCGGGATCCCTCCCACATACCTATTGCTGAGAGAAGCCTCCTCCTGAGGTGCTTCTGGGAAGTTGGCATTCGTCTTGAGCCTAAGCCAGGGAATCAGCTCTCATCTCGAGACGATTTGGGGTACACGGAGCATTCCTCGAGTTGCTGTGCTGAAGTTGGTGTTCCTCTAGACTTGGGACAGTGTTCTCGGGGCATCTCTGGAGTTGCCTGAAGGAAGTCGAGCCACCGGTCGTGTTGAATGGGGAACGGGGAATGGCTCTGGAGTCAATGCAGGGGAATCGGGCCTCATCTCGAGTTGATTTGGAGCACATGGAGCTGCTTTGCTTTGCTGGGGTGACCTCAGGGTCCGTCTAGACTGGTGACAGTGTTCTTGGGGACTGTCTCGAGATCCATGAAGCAAGTCGAAGCTCCTGACTTGTTTGAATGGGATCACGGAATAGCTCTGCATGCACTGCAGGGGAATGGGGCCTCATCTCGCCTCTAGGGGGAAGTCTCATGGTTTTTCTCGAGTTGCGGCGGGGACCTGGGGTATGTTCTCGACTTACGGCGGGGATGGCCCTTCAAAACACGAGTTTCTTCAGTGACGTCAGGACTCCTGTCTAGTAACAAGGGACACCTCAGGAATCTCTTCGAGGCTTGGCAGGGCAAAAGGGACGCTTCTCGAGTTGAAGCAGGGCACCCAAGGACCCTTTCCAGTAGCCACAGGGATTTTGGGATTCCTATCAGTATTCAAGAGGAGTCAGGCATCGTCACCTTTTGAAGCAATGAACTCCGCGTGCCTCTCGAGGTGTCAGCGGGATGTGAGGCATTCCGTCAAAATGAGGCAGGGACCTAGGGCTTTCTCTAAGGTCTCCACAGGGGATTCAGACATCCCTTCATGTTGTGAGATGAAAGACGAGCCTGTATTCAAGCCACTGCAAGGAAATCCGGCCTCCTTTCAAGTTATGGCTTCTCGCTGTATATTCCCCTTGAGGCCGCAAACTCGGGGTCCCTCCCACATACCTATTGCTGAGAGAAGCCTCCTCCTGAGGTGCTTCTGGGAAGTTGGCATACGTCTTGAGCCTAAGCCAGGGTATCAGCTCTCATCTCGAGACGATTTGGGGTACACGGAGCATTCCTCGAGTTGCTGTGCTGAAGTTGGTGTTCCTCTAGACTTGGGACAGTGTTCTCGGGGCATCTCTGGAGTTCCCTGAAGGAAGTCGAGCCACGGGTCGTGTTGAATGGGGAACGGGGAATGGCTCTGGAGTCAATGCAGGGGAATTGGGCCTCATCTCGAGTTGATTTGGGGCACATGGAGCTGCTTTGCGTTGCTGGGGTGACCTCAGGGTCCGTCTAGACTGGTGACAGTGTTCTTGGGGACTGTCTCGAGATCCATTAAGCAAGTCGAAGCTCCTGACTTGTTTGAATGGGATCACGGAATAGCTCTGCATGCACTGCAGGGGAATGGGGCCTCATCTCGCCTCTAGGGGGAAGTCTCATGGTTTTTCTCGAGTTGCGGCGGGGACCTGGGGTATGTTCTCGACTTACGGCGGGGATGGCCCTTCAAAACACGAGTTTCTTCAGTGACGTCAGGACTCCTGTCTAGTAACGAGGGACACCTCAGGAATCTCTTCGAGGCTTGGCAGGGCAAAAGGGACGCTTCTCGAGGTGAGGCAGGGCACCCAAGGACCCTTTCCAGTAGCCACAGGGATTTTGGGATTCCTATCAGTATTCAAGAGGAGTCAGGCATCGTCACCTTTTGAAGCAATGAACTCCGCGTGCCTCTCGAGGTGTCAGCGGGATGTGAGGCATTCCGTCAAAATGAGGCAGGGACCTAGGGCTTTCTCTAAGGTCTCCACAGGGGATTCAGACATCCCTTCATGTTGTGAGATGAAAGACGAGCCTGTATTCAAGCCACTGCAAGGAAATCCGGCCTCCTTTCAAGTTAGGGCTTCTCGCTGTATATTCCCCTTGAGGCAGCAAACTCGGGGTCCCTCCCACATACCTATTGCTGAGAGAAGCCTCCTCCTGAGGTGCTTCTGGGAAGTTGGCATACGTCTTGAGCCTAAACCAGGGAATCAGCTCTCATCTCGAGACGATTTGGGGTACACGGAGCATTCCTCGAGTTGCTGTGCTGAAGTTGGTGTTCCTCTAGACTTGGGACAGTGTTCTCGGGGCATCTCTGGAGTTGCCTGAAGGAAGTCGAGCCACCGGTCGTGTTGAATGGGGAACGGGGAATGGCTCTGGAGTCAATGCAGGGGAATCGGGCCTCATCTCGAGTTGATTTGGGGCACATGGAGCTGCTTTGCGTTGCTGGGGTGACCTCAGGGTCCGTCTAGACTGGTGACAGTGTTCTTGGGGACTGTCTCGAGATCCATGAAGCAAGTCGAAGCTCCTGACTTGTTTGAATGGGATCACGGAATAGCTCTGCATGCACTGCAGGGGAATGGGGCCTCATCTCGCCTCTAGGGGGAAGTCTCATGGTTTTTCTCGAGTTGCGGCGGGGACCTGGGGTATGTTCTCGACTTACGGCGGGGATGGCCCTTCAAAACACGAGTTTCTTCAGTGACGTCAGGACTCCTGTCTAGTAACGAGGGACACCTCAGGAATCTCTTCGAGGCTTGGCAGGGCAAAAGGACGCTTCTCGAGGTGAGGCAGGGCACCCAAGGACACTTTCCAATAGCCACAGGTATTTTGGGATTCCTATCAGTATTCAAGAGGAGTCAGGCATCGTCACCTTTTGAAGCAATGAACTCCGCGTGCCTCTCGAGGTGTCACCGGGATGTGAGGCATTCCGTCAAAATGAGGCAGGGACCTAGGGCTTTCTCTAAGGTCTCCACAGGGGATTCAGACATCCCTTCATGTTGTGAGATGAAAGACGAGCCTGTATTCAAGCCACTGCAAGGAAATCCGGCCTCCTTTCAAGTTAGGGCTTCTCGCTGTATATTCCCCTTGAGGCAGCAAACTCGGGGTCCCTCCCACATACCTATTGCTGAGAGAAGCCTCCTCCTGAGGTGCTTCTGGGAAGTTGGCATACGTCTTGAGCCTAAGCCAGGGAATCAGCTCTCATCTCGAGACGATTTGGGGTACACGGAGCATTCCTCGAGTTGCTGTGCTGAAGTTGGTGTTCCTCTGGACTTGGGAGAGTGTTCTCGGGGCATCTCTGGAGTTGCCTGAAGGAAGTCGAGCCACCGGTCGTGTTGAATGGGGAACGGGGAATGGCTCTGGAGTTAATGCAGGGGAATCGGGCCTCATCTCGAGTTGATTTGGGGCACATGGAGCTGCTTTGCGTTGCTGGGGTGACCTCAGGGTCAGTCTAGACTGGTGACAGTGTTCTTGGGGACTGTCTCGAGATCCATTAAGCAAGTCGAAGCTCCTGACTTGTTTGAATGGGATCATGGAATAGCTCTGCATGCACTGCAGGGGAATGGGGCCTCATCTCGCCTCTAGGGGGAAGTCTCATGGTTTTTCTCGAGTTGCGGCGGGGACCTGGGGTATGTTCTCGACTTACGGCGGGGATGGCCCTTCAAAACACGAGTTTCTTCAGTGACGTCAGGACTCCTGTCTAGTAACGAGGGACACCTCAGGAATCTCTTCGAGGCTTGGCAGGGCAAAAGGGACGCTTCTCCATGAGAGGCAGGGCACCCAAGGACCCTTTCCAGTAGCCACAGGGATTTTGGGATTCCTATCAGTATTCAAGAGGAGTCAGGCATCGTCACCTTTTGAAGCAATGAACTCCGCGTGCCTCTCGAGGTGTCAGCGGGATGTGAGGCATTCCGTCAAAATGAGGCAGGGACCTAGGGCTTTCTCTAAGGTCTCCACAGGGGATTCAGACATCCCTTCATGTTGTGAGATGAAAGACGAGCCTGTATTCAAGCCACTGCAAGGAAATCCGTCCTCCTTTCAAGTTAGGGCTTCTCGCTGTATATTCCCCTTGAGGCAGCAAACTCGGGGTCCCTCCCACATACTTATAGCTGAGAGAAGCCTCCTCCTGAGGTGCTTCTGGGAAGTTGGCATACGTCTTGAGCCTAAGCCAGGGAATCAGCTCTCATCTCGAGACGATTTGCAGTACACGGAGCATTCCTCGAGTTGCTGTGCTGAAGTTGGTGTTCCTCTAGACTTGGGACAGTGTTCTCGGGGCATCTCTGGAGTTGCCTGAAGGAAGTCGAGCCACGGGTCGTGTTGAATGGGGAACGGGGAATGGCTCTGGAGTCAATGCAGGGGAATCGGGCCTCATCTCGAGTTGATTTGGGGCACATGGAGCTGCTTTGCGTTGCTGGGGTGACCTCAGGGTCCGTCTAGACTGGTGACAGTGTTCTTGGGGACTGTCTCGAGATCCATTAAGCAAGTCGAAGCTCCTGACTTGTTTGAATGGGATCACGGAATAGCTCTGCATGCACTGCAGGGGAATGGGGCCTCATCTCGCCTCTAGGGGGAAGTCTCATGGTTTTTCTCGAGTTGCGGCGGGGACCTGGGGTATGTTCTCGACTTACGGCGGGGATGGCCCTTCAAAACACGAGTTTCTTCAGTGACGTCAGGACTCCTGTCTAGTAACGAGGGACACCTCAGGAATCTCTTCGAGGCTTGGCAGGGCAAAATGACGCTTCTCGAGGTGAGGCAGGGCACCCAAGGACCCTTTCCAGTAGCCACAGGGATTTTGGGATTCCTATCAGTATTCAAGAGGAGTCAGGCATCGTCACCTTTTGAAGCAATGAACTCCGCGTGCCTCTCGAGGTGTCAGCGGGATGTGAGGCATTCCGTCAAAATGAGGCAGGGACCTAGGGCTTTCTCTAAGGTCTCCACAGGGGATTCAGACATCCCTTCATGTTGTGAGATGAAAGACGAGCCTGTATTCAAGCCACTGCAAGGAAATCCGGCCTCCTTTCAAGTTAGGGCTTCTCGCTGTATATTCCCCTTGAGGCAACAAACTCGGGGTCCCTCGCACATACCTATTGCTGAGAGAAGCCTCCTCCTGAGGTGCTTCTGGGAAGTTGGCATACGTCTTGAGCCTAAGCCAGGGAATCAGCTCGCATCTCGAGACGATTTGGGGTACACGGAGCATTCCTCCAGTTGCTGTGCTGAAGTTGGTGTTCCTCTAGACTTGGGACAGTGTTCTCGGGGCATCTCTGGAGTTGCCTGAAGGAAGTCGAGCCACCGGTCGTGTTGAATGGGGAACGGGGAATGGCTCTGGAGTCAATGCAGGGGAATCGGGCCTCATCTCGAGTTGATTTGGGGCACATGGACCTGCTTTGCGTTGCTGGGGTGACCTTAGGGTCCGTCTAGACTGGTGACAGTGATCTTGGGGACTGTCTAGAGATCCATTAAGCAAGTCGAAGCTCCTGACTTGTTTGAATGGGATCACGGAATAGCTCTGCATGCACTGCAGGGGAATGGGGCCTCATCTCGCCTCTAAGGGGAAGTCTCATGGTTTTTCTCGAGTTGCGGCGGGGACCTGGGGTATGTTCTCAACTTACGGCTGGGATGGCCCCTCAAAACACGAGTTTCTTCAGTGAAGTCAGGACTCCTGTCTAGTAACGAGGGACACCTCAGGAATCTCTTCGAGGCTTGGCAGGGCAAAAGGGACGCTTCTCGAGGTGAGGCAGGGCACCCAAGGACCCTTTCCAGTAGCCACAGGGATTTTGGGATTCCTATCAGTATTCAAGAGGAGTCAGGCATCGTCACCTTTTGAAGCAATGAACTCCGCGTGCCTTTCTAGGTGTCAGCGGGATGTGAGGCATTCCGTCAAAATGAGGCAGGGACCTAGGGCTTTCTCTAAGGTCTCCACAGGGGATTCAGACATCCCTTCATGTTGTGAGATGAAAGACGAGCCTGTATTCAAGCCACTGCAAGGAAATCCGGCCTCCTTTCAAGTTAGGGCTTCTCGCTGTATATTCCCCTTGAGGCAGCAAACTCGGGGTCCCTCCCACATACCTATTGCTGAGAGAAGCCTCCTCCTGAGGTGCTTCTGGGAAGTTGGCATATGTCTTGAGCTTAAGCCAGGGAATCAGTTCTCATCTGGAGACGATTTGGGGTACACGGAGCATTCCTCGAGTTGCTGTGCTGAAGTTGGTGTTCCTCTAGACTTGGGACAGTGTTCTCGGGGCATCTCTGGAGTTGCCTGAAGGAAGTCGAGCCACCGGTCGTGCTGAATGGGGAACGGGGAATGGCTCTGGAGTCAATGCAGGGGAATCGGGCCTCATCTCGAGTAGATTTGGGGCACATGGAGCCGCTTTGCATTGCTGGGGTGACCTCAGGGTCCGTCTAGACTGGTGACAGTGTTCTTGGGAACTGTCTGGAGATCCATTAAGAAAGTCGAAGCTCCTGACTTGTTTGAATGGGATCACGGAATAGCTCTGCATGCACTGCAGGGGAATGGGGCCTCATCTCGCCTATAGGGGGAAGTCTCATGGTTTTTCTCGAGTTGCGGCGGGGACCTGGGGTATGTTCTCGACTTACGGCGGGGATGGCCCTTCAAAACACGAGTTTCTTCAGTGACGTCAGGACTCCTGTCTAGTAACGAGGGACACCTCAGGAATCTCTTCGTGGCTTGGCAGGACAAAAGGGACGCTTCTCCAGGTGAGGCAGGGCACCCAAGGACCCTTTCCAGTAGCCACAGGGATTTTGGGATTCCGATCAGTATTCAAGAGGAGTCAGGCATCGTCACCTTTTGAAGCAATGAACTCCGCGTGCCTCTCGAGGTGTCAGCGGGATGTGAGGCATTCCGTCAAAATGAGGCAGGGACCTAGGGCTTTCTCTAAGGTCTCCACAGGGGATTCAGACATCCCTTCATGTTGTGAGATGAAAGACGAGCCTGTATTCAAGCCACTGCAAGGAAATCCGGCCTCCTTTCAAGTTAGGGCTTCTCGCTGTATATTCCCCTTGAGGCAGCAAACTCGGGGTCCCTCCCACATACTTATAGCCGAGAGAAGCCTCCTCCTGAGGTGCTTCTGGGAAGTTGGCATACGTCTTGAGCCTAAGCCAGGGAATCAGCTCTCATCTCGAGACGATTTGGGGTACACGGAGCATTCCTCGAGTTGCTGTGCTGAAGTTGGTGTTCCTCTAGGCTTGGGACAGTGTTCTCGGGGCATCTCTGGAGTTGCCTGAAGGAAGTCGAGCCACCGGTCGTGTTGAATGGGGAACGGGGAATGGCTCTGGAGTCAATGCAGGGGAATCGGGCCTCATCTCGAGTTGATTTGGGGCACATGGAGCTGCTTTGCGTTGCTGGGGTGACCTCAGGGTCCGTCTAGACTGGTGACAGTGTTCTTGGGGACTGTCTCGAGATCCATTAAGCAAGTCGAAGCTCCTGACTTGTTTGAATGGGATCACGGAATAGCTCTGCATGCACTGCAGGGGAATGGGGCCTCATCTCGCCTCTAGGGGGAAGTCTCATGGTTTTTCTCGAGTTGCGGCGGGGACCTGGGGTATGTTCTCGACTTACGGCGGGGATGGCCCTTCAAAACACGAGTTTCTTCAGTGACGTCAGGACTCCTGTCTAGTAACGAGGGACACCTCAGGAATCTCTTCGAGGCTTGGCAGGGCAAAATGACGCTTCTCGAGGTGAGGCAGGGCACCCAAGGACCCTTTCCAGTAGCCACAGGGATTTTGGGATTCCTATCAGTATTCAAGAGGAGTCAGGCATCGTCACCTTTTGAAGCAATGAACTCCGCGTGCCTCTCGAGGTGTCAGCGGGATGTGAGGCATTCCGTCAAAATGAGGCAGGGACCTAGGGCTTTCTCTAAGGTCTCCACAGGGGATTCAGACATCCCTTCATGTTGTGAGATGAAAGACGAGCCTGTATTCAAGCCACTGCAAGGAAATCCGGCCTCCTTTCAAGTTAGGGCTTCTCGCTGTATATGCCCCTTGAGGCAACAAACTCGGGGTCCCTCTCACATACCTATTGCTGAGAGAAGCCTCCTCCTGAGGTGCTTCTGGGAAGTTGGCATACGTCTTGAGCCTAAGCCAGGGAATCAGCTCGCATCTCGAGACGATTTGGGGTACACGGAGCATTCCTCCAGTTGCTGTGCTGAAGTTGGTGTTCCTCTAGACTTGGGACAGTGTTCTCGGGGCATCTCTGGAGTTGCCTGAAGGAAGTCGAGCCACCGGTCGTGTTGAATGGGGAACGGGGAATGGCTCTGGAGTCAATGCAGGGGAATCGGGCCTCATCTCGAGTTGATTTGGGGCACATGGAGCTGCTTTGCGTTGCTGGGGTGACCTCAGGGTCCGTCTAGACTGGTGACAGTGATCTTGGGGACTGTCTAGAGATCCATTAAGCAAGTCGAAGCTCCTGACTTGTTTGAATGGGATCACGGAATAGCTCTGCATGCACTGCAGGGGAATGGGGCCTCATCTCGCCTCTAAGGGGAAGTCTCATGGTTTTTCTCGAGTTGCGGCGGGGACCTGGGGTATGTTCTCAACTTACGGCTGGGATGGCCCCTCAAAACACGAGTTTCTTCAGTGAAGTCAGGACTCCTGTCTAGTAACGAGGGACACCTCAGGAATCTCTTCGAGGCTTGGCAGGGCAAAAGGGACGCTTCTCGAGGTGAGGCAGGGCACCCAAGGACCCTTTCCAGTAGCCACAGGGATTTTGGGATTCCTATCAGTATTCAAGAGGAGTCAGGCATCGTCACCTTTTGAAGCAATGAACTCCGCGTGCCTTTCTAGGTGTCAGCGGGATGTGAGGCATTCCGTCAAAATGAGGCAGGGACCTAGGGCTTTCTCTAAGGTCTCCACAGGGGATTCAGACATCCCTTCATGTTGTGAGATGAAAGACGAGCCTGTATTCAAGCCACTGCAAGGAAATCCGGCCTCCTTTCAAGTTAGGGCTTCTCGCTGTATATTCCCCTTGAGGCAGCAAACTCGGGGTCCCTCCCACATACTTATTGCTGAGAGAATCCTCCTCCTGAGGTGCTTCTGGGAAGTTGGCATACGTCTTGAGCCTAAGCCAGGGAATCAGCTCTCATCTCGAGACGATTTGGGGTACACGGAGCATTCCTCGTGTTGCTGTGCTGAAGTTGGTGTTCCTCTAGACTTGGGACAGTGTTCTCGGGGCATCTCTGGAGTTGCCTGAAGGAAGTCGAGCCACCGGTCGTGTTGAATGGGGAAGGGGAATGGCTCTGGAGTCAATACAGGGGAATCGGGCCTCATCTCGAGTTGATTTGGGGCACATGGAGCTGCTTTGCGTTGCTGGGGTGACCTCAGGGTCCGTCTAGACTGGTGACAGTGTTCTTGGGGACTGTCTCGAGATCCATTAAGCAAGTCGAAGCTCCTGACTTGTTTGAATGGGATCACGGAATAGCTCTGCATGCACTGCAGAGGAATGGGGCCTCATCTCGCCTCTAGGGGGAAGTCTCATGGTTTTTCTCGAGTTGCGGCGGGGACCTGGGGTATGTTCTCGACTTACGGCGGGGATGGCCCTTCAAAACACGAGTTTCTTCAGTGACGTCAGGACTCCTGTCTAGTAACGAGGGACACCTCAGGAATCTCTTCGAGGCTTGGCAGGGCAAAAGGGACGCTTCTCGAGGTGAGGCAGGGCACCCAAGGACCCTTTCCAGTAGCCACAGGGATTTTGGGATTCCTATCAGTATTCAAGAGGAGTCAGGCATCGTCACCTTTTGAAGCAATGAACTCCGCGTGCCTTTCGAGGTGTCAGCGGGATGTGAGGCATTCCGTCAAAATGAGGCAGGGACCTAGGGCTTTCTCTAAGGTCTCCACAGGGGATTCAGACATCCCTTCATGTTGTGAGATGAAAGACGAGCCTGTATTCAAGCCACTGCAAGGAAATCCGGCCTCCTTTCAAGTTAGGGCTTCTCGCTGTATATTCCCCTTGAGGCAACAAACTCGGGGTCCCTCGCACATACCTATTGCTGAGAGAAGCCTCCTCCTGAGGTGCTTCTGGGAAGTTGGCATACGTCTTGAGCCTAAGCCAGGGAATCAGCTCGCATCTCGAGACGATTTGGGGTACACGGAGCATTCCTCGAGTTGCTGTGCTGAAGTTGGTGTTCCTCTAGACTTGGGACAGTGTTCTCGGGGCATCTCTGGAGTTGCCTGAAGGAAGTCGAGCCACCGGTCGTGTTGAATGGGGAACGGGGAATGGCTCTGGAGTCAATGCAGGGGAATCGGGCCTCATCTCGAGTTGATTTGGGGCACATGGAGCTGCTTTGCGTTGCTGGGGTGACCTCAGGGTCCGTCTAGACTGGTGACAGTGATCTTGGGGACTGTCTAGAGATCCATTAAGCAAGTCGAAGCTCCTGACTTGTTTGAATGGGATCACGGAATAGCTCTGCATGCACTGCAGGGGAATGGGGCCTCATCTCGCCTCTAAGGGGAAGTCTCATGGTTTTTCTCGAGTTGCGGCGGGGACCTGGGGTATGTTCTCAACTTACGGCTGGGATGGCCCCTCAAAACACGAGTTTCTTCAGTGACGTCAGGACTCCTGTCTAGTAACGAGGGACACCTCAGGAATCTCTTCGAGGCTTGGCAGGGCAAAAGGGACACTTCTCGAGGTGAGGCAGGGCACCCAAGGACCCTTTCCAGTAGCCACAGGGATTTTGGGATTCCTATCAGTATTCAAGAGGAGTCAGGCATCGTCACCTTTTGAAGCAATGAACTCCGCGTGCCTTTCGAGGTGTCAGCGGGATGTGAGGCATTCCGTCAAAATGAGGCAGGGACCTAGGGCTTTCTCTAAGGTCTCCACAGGGGATTCAGACATCCCTTCATGTTGTGAGATGAAAGACGAGCCTGTATTCAAGCCACTGCAAGGAAATCCGGCCTCCTTTCAAGTTAGGGCTTCTCGCTGTATATTCCCCTTGAGGCAGCAAACTCGGGGTCCCTCCCACATACTTATTGCTGAGAGAATCCTCCTCCTGAGGTGCTTCTGGGAAGTTGGCATACGTCTTGAGCCTAAGCCAGGGAATCAGCTCTCATCTCGAGACGATTTGGGGTACACGGAGCATTCCTCGTGTTGCTGTGCTGAAGTTGGTGTTCCTCTAGACTTGGGACAGTGTTCTCGGGGCATCTCTGGAGTTGCCTGAAGGAAGTCGAGCCACCGGTCGTGTTGAATGGGGAAGGGGAATGGCTCTGCAGTCAATACAGGGGAATCGGGCCTCATCTCGAGTTGATTTGGGGCACATGGAGCTGCTTTGCGTTGCTGGGGTGACCTCAGGGTCCGTCTAGACTGGTGACAGTGTTCTTGGGGACTGTCTCGAGATCCATTAAGCAAGTCGAAGCTCCTGACTTGTTTGAATGGGATCACGGAATAGCTCTGCATGCACTGCAGGGGAATGGGGCCTCATCTCGCCTCTAAGGGGAAGTCTCATGGTTTTTCTCGAGTTGCGGCGGGGACCTGGGGTATGTTCTCAACTTACGGCTGGGATGGCCCCTCAAAACACGAGTTTCTTCAGTGAAGTCAGGACTCCTGTCTAGTAACGAGGGACACCTCAGGAATCTCTTCGAGGCTTGGCAGGGCAAAAGGGACGCTTCTCGAGGTGAGGCAGGGCACCCAAGGACCCTTTCCAGTAGCCACAGGGATTTTGGGATTCCTATCAGTATTCAAGAGGAGTCAGGCATCGTCACCTTTTGAAGCAATGAACTCCGCGTGCCTTTCTAGGTGTCAGCGGGATGTGAGGCATTCCGTCAAAATGAGGCAGGGACCTAGGGCTTTCTCTAAGGTCTCCACAGGGGATTCAGACATCCCTTCATGTTGTGAGATGAAAGACGAGCCTGTATTCAAGCCACTGCAAGGAAATCCGGCCTCCTTTCAAGTTAGGGCTTCTCGCTGTATATTCCCCTTGAGGCAGCAAACTCGGGGTCCCTCCCACATACCTATTGCTGAGAGAAGCCTCCTCCTGAGGTGCTTCTGGGAAGTTGGCATATGTCTTGAGCTTAAGCCAGGGAATCAGTTCTCATCTGGAGACGATTTGGGGTACACGGAGCATTCCTCGAGTTGCTGTGCTGAAGTTGGTGTTCCTCTAGACTTGGGACAGTGTTCTCGGGGCATCTCTGGAGTTGCCTGAAGGAAGTCGAGCCACCGGTCGTGCTGAATGGGGAACGGGGAATGGCTCTGGAGTCAATGCAGGGGAATCGGGCCTCATCTCGAGTAGATTTGGGGCACATGGAGCCGCTTTGCATTGCTGGGGTGACCTCAGGGTCCGTCTAGACTGGTGACAGTGTTCTTGGGAACTGTCTGGAGATCCATTAAGAAAGTCGAAGCTCCTGACTTGTTTGAATGGGATCACGGAATAGCTCTGCATGCACTGCAGGGGAATGGGGCCTCATCTCGCCTATAGGGGGAAGTCTCATGGTTTTTCTCGAGTTGCGGCGGGGACCTGGGGTATGTTCTCGACTTACGGCGGGGATGGCCCTTCAAAACACGAGTTTCTTCAGTGACGTCAGGACTCCTGTCTGGTAACGAGGGACACCTCAGGAATCTCTTCGTGGCTTGGCAGGACAAAAGGGACGCTTCTCCAGGTGAGGCAGGGCACCCAAGGACCCTTTCCAGTAGCCACAGGGATTTTGGGATTCCGATCAGTATTCAAGAGGAGTCAGGCATCGTCACCTTTTGAAGCAATGAACTCCGCGTACCTCTCGAGGTGTCAGCTGGATGTGAGGCATTCCGTCAAAATGAGGCAGGGACCTAGGGCTTTCTCTAAGGTCTCCACGGGGGATTAAGACATCCCTTCATGTTGTGAGATGAAAGACGAGCCTGTATTCAAGCCACTGCAAGGAAATCCGGCCTCCTTTCAAGTTAGGGCTTCTCGCTGTATATTCCCCTTGAGGCAGCAAACTCGGGGTCCCTCCCACATACCTATTGCTGAGAGAAGCCTCCTCCTGAGGTGCTTCTGGGAAGTTGGCATACGTCTTGAGCCTAAGCCAGGGAATCAGCTCTCATCTCGAGACGATTTGGGGTACACGGAGCATTCCTCGAGTTGCTGTGCTGAAGTTGGTGTTCCTCTAGACTTGGGACAGTGTTCTCGGGGCATCTCTGGAGTTGCCTGAAGGAAGTCGAGCCACCGGTCGTGTTGAATGTGGAAGGGGGATTGGCTCTGGAGTCAATGCAGGGGAATCGGGCCTCATCTCGAGTTGATTTGGGGCACATGGAGCTGCTTTGCGTTGCTGGGGTGACCTCAGGCTCCGTCTAGACTGGTGACAGTGTTCTTGGGGACTGTCTCGAGATCCATTAAGCAAGTCGAAGCTCCTGACTTGTTTGAATGGGATCACGGAATAGCTCTGCATGCACTGCAGGGGAATGGGGCCTCATCTCGCCTCTAGGGGGAAGTCTCATGGTTTTTCTCGAGTTGCGGCGGGGACCTGGGGTATGTTCTCGACTTACGGCGGGGATGGCCCTTCAAAACACGAGTTTCTTCAGTGACGTCAGGACTCCTGTCTAGTAACGAGGGACACCTCAGGAATCTCTTCGAGGCTTGGCAGGGCAAAAGGGACGCTTCTCGAGGTGAGGCAGGGCACCCAAGGACCCTTTCCAGTAGCCACAGGGATTTTGGGATTCCTATCAGTATTCAAGAGGAGTCAGGCATCGTCACCTTTTGAAGCAATGAACTCCGCGTGCCTCTCGAGGTGTCAGCGGGATGTGAGGCATTCCGTCAAAATGAGGCAGGGACCTAGGGCTTTCTCTAAGGTCTCCACAGGGGATTCAGACATCCCTTCATGTTGTGAGATGAAAGACGAGCCTGTATTCAAGCCACTGCAAGGAAATCCGGCCTCCTTTCAAGTTAGGGCTTCTCGCTGTATATTCCCCTTGAGGCAGCAAACTCGGGGTCCCTCCCACATACTTATTGCTGAGAGAATCCTCCTCCTGAGGTGCTTCTGGGAAGTTGGCATACGTCTTGAGCCTAAGCCAGGGAATCAGCTCTCATCTCGAGACGATTTGGGGTACACGGAGCATTCCTCGTGTTGCTGTGCTGAAGTTGGTGTTCCTCTAGACTTGGGACAGTGTTCTCGGGGCATCTCTGGAGTTGCCTGAAGGAAGTCGAGCCACCGGTCGTGTTGAATGGGGAAGGGGAATGGCTCTGGAGTCAATACAGGGGAATCGGGCCTCATCTCGAGTTGATTTGGGGCACATGGAGCTGCTTTGCGTTGCTGGGGTGACCTCAGGGTCCGTCTAGACTGGTGACAGTGTTCTTGGGGACTGTCTCGAGATCCATTAAGCAAGTCGAAGCTCCTGACTTGTTTGAATGGGATCACGGAATAGCTCTGCATGCACTGCAGGGGAATGGGGCCTCATCTCGCCTCTAGGGGGAAGTCTCATGGTTTTTCTCGAGTTGCGGCGGGGACCTGGGGTATGTTCTCGACTTACGGCGGGGATGGCCCTTCAAAACACGAGTTTATTCAGTGACGTCAGGACTCCTGTCTAGTAACGAGGGACACCTCAGGAATCTCTTCGAGGCTTGGCAGGGCAAAAGGGACGCTTCTCGAGGTGAGGCAGGGCACCCAAGGACCCTTTCCAGTAGCCACAGGGATTTTGGGATTCCTATCAGTATTCAAGAGGAGTCAGGCATCGTCACCTTTTGAAGCAATGAACTCCGCGTGCCTTTCGAGGTGTCAGCGGGATGTGAGGCATTCCGTCAAAATGAGGCAGGGACCTAGGGCTTTCTCTAAGGTCTCCACAGGGGATTCAGACATCCCTTCATGTTGTGAGATGAAAGACGAGCCTGTATTCAAGCCACTGCAAGGAAATCCGGCCTCCTTTCAAGTTAGGGCTTCTCGCTGTATATTCCCCTTGAGGCAACAAACTCGGGGTCCCTCGCACATACCTATTGCTGAGAGAAGCCTCCTCCTGAGGTGCTTCTGGGAAGTTGGCATACGTCTTGAGCCTAAGCCAGGGAATCAGCTCGCATCTCGAGACGATTTGGGGTACACGGAGCATTCCTCGAGTTGCTGTGCTGAAGTTGGTGTTCCTCTAGACTTGGGACAGTGTTCTCGGGGCATCTCTGGAGTTGCCTGAAGGAAGTCGAGCCAACGGTCGTGTTGAATGGGGAACGGGGAATGGCTCTGGAGTCAATGCAGGGGAATCGGGCCTCATCTCGAGTTGATTTGGGGCACATGGAGCTGCTTTGCGTTGCTGGGGTGACCTCAGGGTCCGTCTAGACTGGTGACAGTGATCTTGGGGACTGTCTAGAGATCCATTAAGCAAGTCGAAGCTCCTGACTTGTTTGAATGGGATCACGGAATAGCTCTGCATGCACTGCAGGGGAATGGGGCCTCATCTCGCCTCTAAGGGGAAGTCTCATGGTTTTTCTCGAGTTGCGGCGGGGACCTGGGGTATGTTCTCAACTTACGGCTGGGATGGCCCCTCAAAACACGAGTTTCTTCAGTGACGTCAGGACTCCTGTCTAGTAACGAGGGACACCTCAGGAATCTCTTCGAGGCTTGGCAGGGCAAAAGGGACACTTCTCGAGGTGAGGCAGGGCACCCAAGGACCCTTTCCAGTAGCCACAGGGATTTTGGGATTCCTATCAGTATTCAAGAGGAGTCAGGCATCGTCACCTTTTGAAGCAATGAACTCCGCGTGCCTTTCGAGGTGTCAGCGGGATGTGAGGCATTCCGTCAAAATGAGGCAGGGACCTAGGGCTTTCTCTAAGGTCTCCACAGGGGATTCAGACATCCCTTCATGTTGTGAGATGAAAGACGAGCCTGTATTCAAGCCACTGCAAGGAAATCCGGCCTCCTTTCAAGTTAGGGCTTCTCGCTGTATATTCCCCTTGAGGCAGCAAACTCGGGGTCCCTCCCACATACTTATTGCTGAGAGAATCCTCCTCCTGAGGTGCTTCTGGGAAGTTGGCATACGTCTTGAGCCTAAGCCAGGGAATCAGCTCTCATCTCGAGACGATTTGGGGTACACGGAGCATTCCTCGTGTTGCTGTGCTGAAGTTGGTGTTCCTCTAGACTTGGGACAGTGTTCTCGGGGCATCTCTGGAGTTGCCTGAAGGAAGTCGAGCCACCGGTCGTGTTGAATGGGGAAGGGGAATGGCTCTGGAGTCAATACAGGGGAATCGGGCCTCATCTCGAGTTGATTTGGGGCACATGGAGCTGCTTTGCGTTGCTGGGGTGACCTCAGGGTCCGTCTAGACTGGTGACAGTGTTCTTGGGGACTGTCTCGAGATCCATTAAGCAAGTCGAAGCTCCTGACTTGTTTGAATGGGATCACGGAATAGCTCTGCATGCACTGCAGGGGAATGGGGCCTCATCTCGCCTCTAGGGGGAAGTCTCATGGTTTTTCTCGAGTTGCGGCGGGGACCTGGGGTATGTTCTCGACTTACGGCGGGGATGGCCCTTCAAAACACGAGTTTCTTCAGTGACGTCAGGACTCCTGTCTAGTAACGAGGGACACCTCAGGAATCTCTTCGAGGCTTGGCAGGGCAAAAGGGACGCTTCTCGAGGTGAGGCAGGGCACCCAAGGACCCTTTCCAGTAGCCACAGGGATTTTGGGATTCCTATCAGTATTCAAGAGGAGTCAGGCATCGTCACCTTTTGAAGCAATGAACTCCGCGTGCCTCTCGAGGTGTCAGCGGGATGTGAGGCATTCCGTCAAAATGAGGCAGGGACCTAGGGCTTTCTCTAAGGTCTCCACAGGGGATTCAGACATCCCTTCATGTTGTGAGATGAAAGACGAGCCTGTATTCAAGCCACTGCAAGGAAATCCGGCCTCCTTTCAAGTTAGGGCTTCTCGCTGTATATTCCCCTTGAGGCAACAAACTCGGGGTCCCTCGCACATACCTATTGCTGAGAGAAGCCTCCTCCTGAGGTGCTTCTGGGAAGTTGGCATACGTCTTGAGCCTAAGCCAGGGAATCAGCTCGCATCTCGAGACGATTTGGGGTACACGGAGCATTCCTCCAGTTGCTGTGCTGAAGTTGGTGTTCCTCTAGACTTGGGACAGTGTTCTCGGGGCATCTCTGGAGTTGCCTGAAGGAAGTCGAGCCACCGGTCGTGTTGAATGGGGAACGGGGAATGGCTCTGGAGTCAATGCAGGGGAATCGGGCCTCATCTCGAGTTGATTTGGGGCACATGGAGCTGCTTTGCGTTGCTGGGGTGACCTCAGGGTCCGTCTAGACTGGTGACAGTGTTCTTGGGGACTGTCTAGAGATCCATTAAGCAAGTCGAAGCTCCTGACTTGTTTGAATGGGATCACGGAATAGCTCTGCATGCACTGCAGGGGAATGGGGCCTCATCTCGCCTCTAAGGGGAAGTCTCATGGTTTTTCTCGAGTTGCGGCGGGGACCTGGGGTATGTTCTCAACTTACGGCTGGGATGGCCCCTCAAAACACGAGTTTCTTCAGTGACGTCAGGACTCCTGTCTAGTAACGAGGGACACCTCAGGAATCTCTTCGAGGCTTGGCAGGGCAAAAGGGACACTTCTCGAGGTGAGGCAGGGCACCCAAGGACCCTTTCCAGTAGCCACAGGGATTTTGGGATTCCTATCAGTATTCAAGAGGAGTCAGGCATCGTCACCTTTTGAAGCAATGAACTCCGCGTGCCTTTCGAGGTGTCAGCGGGATGTGAGGCATTCCGTCAAAATGAGGCAGGGACCTAGGGCTTTCTCTAAGGTCTCCACAGGGGATTCAGACATCCCTTCATGTTGTGAGATGAAAGACGAGCCTGTATTCAAGCCACTGCAAGGAAATCCGGCCTCCTTTCAAGTTAGGGCTTCTCGCTGTATATTCCCCTTGAGGCAGCAAACTCGGGGTCCCTCCCACATACCTATTGCTGAGAGAAGCCTCCTCCTGAGGTGCTTCTGGGAAGTTGGCATATGTCTTGAGCCTAAGCCAGGGAATCATCTCTCATCTCGAGACGATTTGGGGTACACGGAGCATTCCTCGAGTTGCTGTGCTGAAGTTGGTGTTCCTCTAGACTTGGGACAGTGTTCTCGGGGCATCTCTGGAGTTGCCTAAAGGAAGTCGAGCCACCGGTCGTGCTGAATGGGGAACGGGGAATGGCTCTGGAGTCAATGCAGGGGAATCGGGCCTCATCTCGAGTTGGTTTGGGGCACATGGAGCTGCTTTGCATTGCTGGGGTGACCTCAGGGTCCGTCTAGACTGCTGACAGTGTTCTTGGGGACTGTCTCGAGATCCATGAAGCAAGTCGAAGCTCCTGACTTGTTTGAATGGGATCACGGAATAGCTCTGCATGCACTGCAGGGGAATGGGGCCTCATCTCGCCTCTAGGGGGAAGTCTCATGGTTTTTCTCGTGTTGCGGCGGGGACCTGGGTTATGTTCTCGACTTACAGCGCGGATGGCCCTTCAAAACACGAGTTTCTTCAGTGACGTCAGGACTCCTGTCTAGTAACGAGGGACACCTCAGGAATCTCTTCGAGGCTTGGCAGGGCAAAAGGGACGCTTCTCGAGGTGAGGCAGGGCACCCAAGGATCCTTTCCAGTAGCCACAGGGATTTTGGGATTCCTATCAGTATTCAAGAGGAGTCAGGCATCGTCACCTTTTGAAGCAATGAACTCCGCGTGCCTCTCGAGGTGTCAGCGGGATGTGAGGCATTCCGTCAAAATGAGGCAGGGACCTAGGGCTTTCTCTAAGGTCTCCACAGGGGATTCAGACATCCCTTCATGTTGTGAGATGAAAGACGAGCCTGTATTCAAGCCACTGCAAGGAAATCCGGCCGCCTTTCAAGTTAGGGCTTCTCGCTGTATATTCCCCTTGAAGCAGCAAACTCGGGGTCCCTCCCACATACCTATTGTTGAGAGAAGCCTCCTCCTGAGGTGCTTCTGGGAAGTTGGCATACGTCTTGAGCCTAAGCCAGGGAATCAGCTCTCATCTCGAGACGATTTGGGGTACACGGAGCATTCCTCGAGTTGCTGTGCTGAAGTTGGTGTTCCTCTAGACTTGGGACAGTGTTCTCGGGGCATCTCTGGAGTTGCCTGAAGGAAGTCGAGCCACCGGTCGTGCTGAATGGGGAACGGGGAATGGCTCTGGAGTCAATGCAGGGGAATCGGGCCTCATCTCGAGTTGATTTGGGGCACATGGAGCTGCTTTGCGTTGCTGGGGTGACCTCAGGGTCCGTCTAGACTGCTGACAGTGTTCTTGGGGACTGTCTCGAGATCCATTAAGCAAGTCGAAGCTCCTGACTTGTTTGAATGGGATCACGGAATAGCTCTGCATGCACTGCAGGGGAATGGGGCCTCATCTCGCCTCTAGGGGGAAGTCTCATGGTTTTTCTCGAGATGCGGCGGGGACCTGGGGTATGTTCTCGACTTACGGCGGGGATGGCCCTTCAAAACACGAGTTTCTTCAGTGACGTCAGGACTCCTTTCTAGTAACGAGGGACACCTCAGGAATCTCTTCGAGGCTTGGCAGGGCAAAAGGGACGCTTCTCGAGGTGAGGCAGGGCACCCAAGGACCCTTTCCAGTAGCCACAGGGATTTTGGGATTCCTATCAGTATTCAAGAGGAGTCAGGCATCGTCACCTTTTGAAGCAATGAACTCCGCGTGCCTCTCGAGGTGTCAGCGGGATGTGAGGCATTCCGTCAAAATGAGGCAGGGACCTAGGGCTTTCTCTAAGGTCTCCACAGGGGATTCAGACATCCCTTCATGTTGTGAGATGAAAGACGAGCCTGTATTCAAGCCACTGCAAGGAAATCCGGCCTCCTTTCAAGTTAGGGCTTCTCGCTGTATATTCCCCTTGAGGCAGCAAACTCGGGGTCCCTCCCACATACTTATTGCTGAGAGAAACCTCCTCCTGAGGTGCTTCTGGGAAGTTGGCATACGTCTTGAGCCTAAGCCAGGGAATCAGCTCTCATCTCGAGACGATTTGGGGTACACGGAGCATTCCTCGTGTTTCTGTGCTGAAGTTGGTGTTCCTCTAGACTTGGGACAGTGTTCTCGGGGCATCTCTGGAGTTGCCTGAAGGAAGTCGAGCCACCGGTCGTGTTGAATGCGGAAAGGGGAATGGCTCTGGAGTCAATGCAGGGGAATCGGGCCTCATCTCGAGTTGATTTGGGGCACATGGAGCTGCTTTGCGTTGCTGGGGTGACCTCAGGGTCCGTCTAGACTGGTGACAGTGTTCATGGGGACTGTCTCAAGATCCATTAAGCAAGTCGAAGCTCCTGACTTGTTTGACTGGGATCACGGAATAGCTCTGCATGCACTGCAGGGGAATGGGGCCTCATCTCGCCTCTAGGGGGAAGTCTCATGGTTTTTCTCGAGTTGCGGCGGGGACCTGGGGTATGTTCTCGACTTACGGCGGGGATGGCCCTTCAAAACACGAGTTTCTTCAGTGACGTCAGGACTCCTGTCTAGTAACGAGGGACACCTCAGGAATCTCTTCGAGGCTTGGCACGGCAAAAGGGACGCTTCTCGAGGTGAGGCAGGGCACCCAAGGACCCATTCCAGTAGCCACAGGGATTTTGGGATTCCTATCAGTATTCAAGAGGAGTCAGGCATCGTCACCTTTTGAAGCAATGAACTCCGCGTGCCTCTCGAGGTGTCAGCGGGATGTGAGGCATTCCGTCAAAATGAGGCAGGGACCTAGGGCTTTCTCTAAGGTCTCCACAGGGGATTCAGACATCCCTTCATGTTGTGAGATGAAAGACGATCCTGTATTCAAGCCACTGCAAGGAAATCCGGCCTCCTTTCAAGTTAGGGCTTCTCGCTGTATATTCCCCTTGAGGCAGCAAACTCGGGGTCCCTCCCACATACCTATTGCTGAGAGAAGCCTCCTCCTGAGGTGCTTCTGGGAAGTTGGCATACGTCTTGAGCCTAAGCCAGGGAATCAGCTCTCATCTCGAGACGATTTGGGGTACACGGAGCATTCCTCGAGTTGCTGTGCTGAAGTTGGTGTTCCTCTAGACTTGGGACAGTGTTCTCGGGGCATCTCTGAAGTTGCCTGAAGGAAGTCGAGCCACCGGTCGTGCTGAAAGGGGAACGGGGAATGGCTCTGGAGTCAATGCAGGGGAATCGGGCCTCATCTCGAGTTGATTTGGGGCACATGGAGCTGCTTTGCGTTGCTGGGGTGACCTCAGGGTCCGTCTAGACTGGTGACAGTGTTCTTGGGGACTGTCTCGAGATCCATTAAGCAAGTCGAAGCTCCTGACTTGTTTGAATGGGATCACGGAATAGCTCTGCATGCACTGCAGGGGAATGGGGCCTCATCTCGCCTCTAGGGGGAAGTCTCATGGTTTTTCTCGAGTTGCAGCGGGGACCTGGGGTATGTTCTCGACTTACGGCGGGGATGGCCCTTCAAAACACGAGTTTCTTCAGTGACGTCAGGACTCCTGTCTAGTAACGAGGGAAACCTCAGGAATCTCTTCGAGGCTTGGCAGTGCAAAAGGGACGCTTCTCGAGGTGAGGCAGGGCACCCAAGGACCCTTTCCAGTAGCCACAGGGATTTTGGGATTCCTATCAGTATTCAAGAGGAGTCAGGCATCGTCACCTTTTGAAGCAATGAACTCCGCGTGCCTCTCGAGGTGTCAGCGGGATGTGAGGCATTCCGTCAAAATGAGGCAGGGACCTAGGGCTTTCTCTAAGGTCTCCACAGGGGATTCAGACATCCCTTCATGTTGTGAGATGAAAGACGAGCCTGTATTCAAGCCACTGCAAGGAAATCCGGCCTCCTTTCAAGTTAGGGCTTCTCGCTGTATATTCCCCTTGAGGCAGCAAACTCGGGGTCCCTCCCACATACCTATTGCTGAGAGAAGCCTCCTCCTGAGGTGCTTCTGGGAAGTTGGCATACGTCTTGAGCCTAAGCCAGGGAATCAGCTCTCATCTCGAGACGATTTGGGGTACACGGAGCATTCCTCGTGTTGCTGTGCTGAAGTTGGTGTTCCTCTAGACTTGGGACAGTGTTCTCGGGGCATCTCTGGAGTTGCCTGAAGGAAGTCGAGCCACCGGTCGTGTTGAATGGGGAACGGGGAATGGCTCTGGAGTCAATGCAGGGAATCGGGCCTCATCTCGAGTTGATTTGGGGCACATGGAGCTGCTTTGCGTTGCTGGGGTGACCTCAGGGTCCGTCTAGTCTGGTGACAGTGTTCTTGGGGACTGTCTCGAGATCCATTAAGCAAGTCGAAGCTCCTGACTTGTTTGAATGGGATCACGGAATAGCTCTGCATGCACTGCAAGGGAATGGGGCCTCATCTCGCCTCTAGGGGGAAGTCTCATGGTTTTTCTCGAGTTGCGGCGGGGACCTGGGTTATCTTCTCGACTTACAGCGGGGATGGCCCTTCAAAACACGAGTTTCTTCAGTGACGTCAGGACTCCTGTCTAGTAACGAGGGACACCTCAGGAATCTCTTCGAGGCTTGGCAGGGCAAAAGGGACGCTTCTCGAGGTGAGGCAGGGCACCCAAGGACCCTATCCAGTAGCCACAGGGATTTGGGGATTCCTATCAGTATTCAAGAGGAGTCAGGCATCGTCACCTTTTGAAGCAATGAACTCCGCGTGCCTCTCGAGGTGTCAGCGCGACGTGAGGCATTCCGTCAAAATGAGGCAGGGACCTAGGGCTTTCTCTAAGGTCTCCACAGGGGATTCAGACATCCCTTCATGTTGTGAGATGAAAGACGAGCCTGTAATCAAGCCACTGCAAGGAAATCCGGCCTCCTTTCAAGTTAGGGCTTCTCGCTGTATATTCCCCTTGAGGCAGCAAACTCGGGGTCCCTCCCACATACCTATTGCTGAGAGAAGCCTCCTCCTGAGGTGCTTCTGGGAAGTTGGCATACGTCTTGAGCCTAAGCCAGGGAATCAGCTCTCATCTCGAGACGATTTGGTGTACACGGAGCATTCCTCGAGTTGCTGTGTTGAAGTTGGTGTTCCTCTAGTCTTGGGACAGTGTTCTCGGGGCATCTCTGGAGTTGCCTGAAGGAAGTCGAGCCACCGGTCGTGTTGAATGGGGAAAGGGGAATGGCTCTGGAGTCAATGCAGGGGAATCGGGCCTCATCTCGAGTTGATTTGGGGCACATGGAGCTGCTTTGCGTTGCTGGGGTGACCTCAGGGTCCGTCTAGACTGGTGACAGTGTTCTTGGGGACTCTCTCGAGATCCATTAAGCAAGTCGAAGCTCCTGACTTGTTTGAATGGGATCACGGAATAGCTCTGCATGCACTGCAGGGGAATGGGGCCTCATCTCGCCTCTAGGGGGAAGTCTCATGGTTTTTCTCGAGTTGCGGCGGGGACCTGGGGTATGTTCTCGACTTACGGCGGGGATGGCCCTTCAAAACACGAGTTTCTTCAGTGACGTCAGGACTCCTGTCTAGTAACGAGGGACACCTCAGGAATCTCTTCGAGGCTTGGCAGGGCAAAATGACGCTTCTCGAGGTGAGGCAGGGCACCCAAGGACCCTTTCCAGTAGCCACAGGGATTTTGGGATTCCTATCAGTATTCAAGAGGAGTCAGGCATCGTCACCTTTTGAAGCAATGAACTCCGCGTGCCTCTCGAGGTGTCAGCGGGATGTGAGGCATTCCGTCAAAATGAGGCAGGGACCTAGGGCTTTCTCTAAGGTCTCCACAGGGGATTCAGACATCCCTTCATGTTGTGAGATGAAAGACGAGCCTGTATTCAAGCCACTGCAAGGAAATCCGGCCTCCTTTCAAGTTAGGGCTTCTCGCTGTATATGCCCCTTGAGGCAACAAACTCGGGGTCCCTCGCACATACCTATTGCTGAGAGAAGCCTCCTCCTGAGGTGCTTCTGGGAAGTTGGCATACGTCTTGAGCCTAAGCCAGGGAATCAGCTCGCATCTCGAGACGATTTGGGGTACACGGAGCATTCCTCCAGTTGCTGTGCTGAAGTTGGTGTTCCTCTAGACTTGGGACAGTGTTCTCGGGGCATCTCTGGAGTTGCCTGAAGGAAGTCGAGCCACCGGTCGTGTTGAATGGGGAACGGGGAATGGCTCTGGAGTCAATGCAGGGGAATCGGGCCTCATCTCGAGTTGATTTGGGGCACATGGAGCTGCTTTGCGTTGCTGGGGTGACCTCAGGGTCCGTCTAGACTGGTGACAGTGATCTTGGGGACTGTCTAGAGATCCATTAAGCAAGTCGAAGCTCCTGACTTGTTTGAATGGGATCACGGAATAGCTCTGCATGCACTGCAGGGGAATGGGGCCTCATCTCGCCTCTAAGGGGAAGTCTCATGGTTTTTCTCGAGTTGCGGCGGGGACCTGGGGTATGTTCTCAACTTACGGCTGGGATGGCCCCTCAAAACACGAGTTTCTTCAGTGAAGTCAGGACTCCTGTCTAGTAACGAGGGACACCTCAGGAATCTCTTCGAGGCTTGGCAGGGCAAAAGGGACGCTTCTCAAGGTGAGGCAGGGCACCCAAGGACCCTTTCCAGTAGCCACAGGGATTTTGGGATTCCTATCAGTATTCAAGAGGAGTCAGGCATCGTCACCTTTTGAAGCAATGAACTCCGCGTGCCTTTCTAGGTGTCAGCGGGATGTGAGGCATTCCGTCAAAATGAGGCAGGGACCTAGGGCTTTCTCTAAGGTCTCCACAGGGGATTCAGACATCCCTTCATGTTGTGAGATGAAAGACGAGCCTGTATTCAAGCCACTGCAAGGAAATCCGGCCTCCTTTCAAGTTAGGGCTTCTCGCTGTATATTCCCCTTGAGGCAGCAAACTCGGGGTCCCTCCCACATACTTATTGCTGAGAGAATCCTCCTCCTGAGGTGCTTCTGGGAAGTTGGCATACGTCTTGAGCCTAAGCCAGGGAATCAGCTCTCATCTCGAGACGATTTGGGGTACACGGAGCATTCCTCGTGTTGCTGTGCTGAAGTTGGTGTTCCTCTAGACTTGGGACAGTGTTCTCGGGGCATCTCTGGAGTTGCCTGAAGGAAGTCGAGCCACCGGTCGTGTTGAATGGGGAAGGGGAATGGCTCTGGAGTCAATACAGGGGAATCGGGCCTCATCTCGAGTTGATTTGGGGCACATGGAGCTGCTTTGCGTTGCTGGGGTGACCTCAGGGTCCGTCTAGACTGGTGACAGTGTTCTTGGGGACTGTCTCGAGATCCATTAAGCAAGTCGAAGCTCCTGACTTGTTTGAATGGGATCACGGAATAGCTCTGCATGCACTGCAGGGGAATGGGGCCTCATCTCGCCTCTAGGGGGAAGTCTCATGGTTTTTCTCGAGTTGCGGCGGGGACCTGGGGTATGTTCTCGACTTACGGCGGGGATGGCCCTTCAAAACACGAGTTTCTTCAGTGACGTCAGGACTCCTGTCTAGTAACGAGGGACACCTCAGGAATCTCTTCGAGGCTTGGCAGGGCAAAAGGGACGCTTCTCGAGGTGAGGCAGGGCACCCAAGGACCCTTTCCAGTAGCCACAGGGATTTTGGGATTCCTATCAGTATTCAAGAGGAGTCAGGCATCGTCACCTTTTGAAGCAATGAACTCCGCGTGCCTTTCGAGGTGTCAGCGGGATGTGAGGCATTCCGTCAAAATGAGGCAGGGACCTAGGGCTTTCTCTAAGGTCTCCACAGGGGATTCAGACATCCCTTCATGTTGTGAGATGAAAGACGAGCCTGTATTCAAGCCACTGCAAGGAAATCCGGCCTCCTTTCAAGTTAGGGCTTCTCGCTGTATATTCCCCTTGAGGCAACAAACTCGGGGTCCCTCGCACATACCTATTGCTGAGAGAAGCCTCCTCCTGAGGTGCTTCTGGGAAGTTGGCATACGTCTTGAGCCTAAGCCAGGGAATCAGCTCGCATCTCGAGACGATTTGGGGTACACGGAGCATTCCTCGAGTTGCTGTGCTGAAGTTGGTGTTCCTCTAGACTTGGGACAGTGTTCTCGGGGCATCTCTGGAGTTGCCTGAAGGAAGTCGAGCCACCGGTCGTGTTGAATGGGGAACGGGGAATGGCTCTGGAGTCAATGCAGGGGAATCGGGCCTCATCTCGAGTTGATTTGGGGCACATGGAGCTGCTTTGCGTTGCTGGGGTGACCTCAGGGTCCGTCTAGACTGGTGACAGTGATCTTGGGGACTGTCTAGAGATCCATTAAGCAAGTCGAAGCTCCTGACTTGTTTGAATGGGATCACGGAATAGCTCTGCATGCACTGCAGGGGAATGGGGCCTCATCTCGCCTCTAAGGGGAAGTCTCATGGTTTTTCTCGAGTTGCGGCGGGGACCTGGGGTATGTTCTCAACTTACGGCTGGGATGGCCCCTCAAAACACGAGTTTCTTCAGTGACGTCAGGACTCCTGTCTAGTAACGAGGGACACCTCAGGAATCTCTTCGAGGCTTGGCAGGGCAAAAGGGACACTTCTCGAGGTGAGGCAGGGCACCCAAGGACCCTTTCCAGTAGCCACAGGGATTTTGGGATTCCTATCAGTATTCAAGAGGAGTCAGGCATCGTCACCTTTTGAAGCAATGAACTCCGCGTGCCTTTCGAGGTGTCAGCGGGATGTGAGGCATTCCGTCAAAATGAGGCAGGGACCTAGGGCTTTCTCTAAGGTCTCCACAGGGGATTCAGACATCCCTTCATGTTGTGAGATGAAAGACGAGCCTGTATTCAAGCCACTGCAAGGAAATCCGGCCTCCTTTCAAGTTAGGGCTTCTCGCTGTATATTCCCCTTGAGGCAGCAAACTCGGGGTCCCTCCCACATACTTATTGCTGAGAGAATCCTCCTCCTGAGGTGCTTCTGGGAAGTTGGCATACGTCTTGAGCCTAAGCCAGGGAATCAGCTCTCATCTCGAGACGATTTGGGGTACACGGAGCATTCCTCGTGTTGCTGTGCTGAAGTTGGTGTTCCTCTAGACTTGGGACAGTGTTCTCGGGGCATCTCTGGAGTTGCCTGAAGGAAGTCGAGCCACCGGTCGTGTTGAATGGGGAAGGGGAATGGCTCTGGAGTCAATACAGGGGAATCGGGCCTCATCTCGAGTTGATTTGGGGCACATGGAGCTGCTTTGCGTTGCTGGGGTGACCTCAGGGTCCGTCTAGACTGGTGACAGTGTTCTTGGGGACTGTCTCGAGATCCATTAAGCAAGTCGAAGCTCCTGACTTGTTTGAATGGGATCACGGAATAGCTCTGCATGCACTGCAGGGGAATGGGGCCTCATCTCGCCTCTAAGGGGAAGTCTCATGGTTTTTCTCGAGTTGCGGCGGGGACCTGGGGTATGTTCTCAACTTACGGCTGGGATGGCCCCTCAAAACACGAGTTTCTTCAGTGAAGTCAGGACTCCTGTCTAGTAACGAGGGACAACTCAGGAATCTCTTCGAGGCTTGGCAGGGCAAAAGGGACGCTTCTCGAGGTGAGGCAGGGCACCCAAGGACCCTTTCCAGTAGCCACAGGGATTTTGGGATTCCTATCAGTATTCAAGAGGAGTCAGGCATCGTCACCTTTTGAAGCAATGAACTCCGCGTGCCTTTCTAGGTGTCAGCGGGATGTGAGGCATTCCGTCAAAATGAGGCAGGGACCTAGGGCTTTCTCTAAGGTCTCCACAGGGGATTCAGACATCCCTTCATGTTGTGAGATGAAAGACGAGCCTGTATTCAAGCCACTGCAAGGAAATCCGGCCTCCTTTCAAGTTAGGGCTTCTCGCTGTATATTCCCCTTGAGGCAGCAAACTCGGGGTCCCTCCCACATACCTATTGCTGAGAGAAGCCTCCTCCTGAGGTGCTTCTGGGAAGTTGGCATATGTCTTGAGCTTAAGCCAGGGAATCAGTTCTCATCTGGAGACGATTTGGGGTACACGGAGCATTCCTCGAGTTGCTGTGCTGAAGTTGGTGTTCCTCTAGACTTGGGACAGTGTTCTCGGGGCATCTCTGGAGTTGCCTGAAGGAAGTCGAGCCACCAGTCGTGCTGAATGGGGAACGGGGAATGGCTCTGGAGTCAATGCAGGGGAATCGGGCCTCATCTCGAGTAGATTTGGGGCACATGGAGCCGCTTTGCATTGCTGGGGTGACCTCAGGGTCCGTCTAGACTGGTGACAGTGTTCTTGGGAACTGTCTGGAGATCCATTAAGAAAGTCGAAGCTCCTGACTTGTTTGAATGGGATCACGGAATAGCTCTGCATGCACTGCAGGGGAATGGGGCCTCATCTCGCCTATAGGGGGAAGTCTCATGGTTTTTCTCGAGTTGCGGCGGGGACCTGGGGTATGTTCTCGACTTACGGCGGGGATGGCCCTTCAAAACACGAGTTTCTTCAGTGACGTCAGGACTCCTGTCTGGTAACGAGGGACACCTCAGGAATCTCTTCGTGGCTTGGCAGGACAAAAGGGACGCTTCTCCAGGTGAGGCAGGGCACCCAAGGACCCTTTCCAGTAGCCACAGGGATTTTGGGATTCCGATCAGTATTCAAGAGGAGTCAGGCATCGTCACCTTTTGAAGCAATGAACTCCGCGTACCTCTCGAGGTGTCAGCTGGATGTGAGGCATTCCGTCAAAATGAGGCAGGGACCTAGGGCTTTCTCTAAGGTCTCCACGGGGGATTAAGACATCCCTTCATGTTGTGAGATGAAAGACGAGCCTGTATTCAAGCCACTGCAAGGAAATCCGGCCTCCTTTCAAGTTAGGGCTTCTCGCTGTATATTCCCCTTGAGGCAGCAAACTCGGGGTCCCTCCCACATACCTATTGCTGAGAGAAGCCTCCTCCTGAGGTGCTTCTGGGAAGTTGGCATACGTCTTGAGCCTAAGCCAGGGAATCAGCTCTCATCTCGAGACGATTTGGGGTACACGGAGCATTCCTCGAGTTGCTGTGCTGAAGTTGGTGTTCCTCTAGACTTGGGACAGTGTTCTCGGGGCATCTCTGGAGTTGCCTGAAGGAAGTCGAGCCACCGGTCGTGTTGAATGTGGAAGGGGGATTGGCTCTGGAGTCAATGCAGGGGAATCGGGCCTCATCTCGAGTTGATTTGGGGCACATGGAGCTGCTTTGCGTTGCTGGGGTGACCTCAGGCTCCGTCTAGACTGGTGACAGTGTTCTTGGGGACTGTCTCGAGATCCATTAAGCAAGTCGAAGCTCCTGACTTGTTTGAATGGGATCACGGAATAGCTCTGCATGCACTGCAGGGGAATGGGGCCTCATCTCGCCTCTAGGGGGAAGTCTCATGGTTTTTCTCGAGTTGCGGCGGGGACCTGGGGTATGTTCTCGACTTACGGCGGGGATGGCCCTTCAAAACACGAGTTTCTTCAGTGACGTCAGGACTCCTGTCTAGTAACGAGGGACACCTCAGTAATCTCTTCGAGGCTTGGCAGGGCAAAAGGGACGCTTCTCGAGGTGAGGCAGGGCACCCAAGGACCCTTTCCAGTAGCCACAGGGATTTTGGGATTCCTATCAGTATTCAAGAGGAGTCAGGCATCGTCACCTTTTGAAGCAATGAACTCCGCGTGCCTCTCGAGGTGTCAGCGGGATGTGAGGCATTCCGTCAAAATGAGGCAGGGACCTAGGGCTTTCTCTAAGGTCTCCACAGGGGATTCAGACATCCCTTCATGTTGTGAGATGAAAGACGAGCCTGTATTCAAGCCACTGCAAGGAAATCCGGCCTCCTTTCAAGTTAGGGCTTCTCGCTGTATATTCCCCTTGAGGCAGCAAACTCGGGGTCCCTCCCACATACTTATTGCTGAGAGAATCCTCCTCCTGAGGTGCTTCTGGGAAGTTGGCATACGTCTTGAGCCTAAGCCAGGGAATCAGCTCTCATCTCGAGACGATTTGGGGTACACGGAGCATTCCTCGTGTTGCTGTGCTGAAGTTGGTGTTCCTCTAGACTTGGGACAGTGTTCTCGGGGCATCTCTGGAGTTGCCTGAAGGAAGTCGAGCCACCGGTCGTGTTGAATGGGGAAGGGGAATGGCTCTGGAGTCAATACAGGGGAATCGGGCCTCATCTCGAGTTGATTTGGGGCACATGGAGCTGCTTTGCGTTGCTGGGGTGACCTCAGGGTCCGTCTAGACTGGTGACAGTGTTCTTGGGGACTGTCTCGAGATCCATTAAGCAAGTCGAAGCTCCTGACTTGTTTGAATGGGATCACGGAATAGCTCTGCATGCACTGCAGGGGAATGGGGCCTCATCTCGCCTCTAGGGGGAAGTCTCATGGTTTTTCTCGAGTTGCGGCGGGGACCTGGGGTATGTTCTCGACTTACGGCGGGGATGGCCCTTCAAAACACGAGTTTATTCAGTGACGTCAGGACTCCTGTCTAGTAACGAGGGACACCTCAGGAATCTCTTCGAGGCTTGGCAGGGCAAAAGGGACGCTTCTCGAGGTGAGGCAGGGCACCCAAGGACCCTTTCCAGTAGCCACAGGGATTTTGGGATTCCTATCAGTATTCAAGAGGAGTCAGGCATCGTCACCTTTTGAAGCAATGAACTCCGCGTGCCTTTCGAGGTGTCAGCGGGATGTGAGGCATTCCGTCAAAATGAGGCAGGGACCTAGGGCTTTCTCTAAGGTCTCCACAGGGGATTCAGACATCCCTTCATGTTGTGAGATGAAAGACGAGCCTGTATTCAAGCCACTGCAAGGAAATCCGGCCTCCTTTCAAGTTAGGGCTTCTCGCTGTATATTCCCCTTGAGGCAACAAACTCGGGGTCCCTCGCACATACCTATTGCTGAGAGAAGCCTCCTCCTGAGGTGCTTCTGGGAAGTTGGCATACGTCTTGAGCCTAAGCCAGGGAATCAGCTCGCATCTCGAGACGATTTGGGGTACACGGAGCATTCCTCGAGTTGCTGTGCTGAAGTTGGTGTTCCTCTAGACTTGGGACAGTGTTCTCGGGGCATCTCTGGAGTTGCCTGAAGGAAGTCGAGCCACCGGTCGTGTTGAATGGGGAACGGGGAATGGCTCTGGAGTCAATGCAGGGGAATCGGGCCTCATCTCGAGTTGATTTGGGGCACATGGAGCTGCTTTGCGTTGCTGGGGTGACCTCAGGGTCCGTCTAGACTGGTGACAGTGATCTTGGGGACTGTCTAGAGATCCATTAAGCAAGTCGAAGCTCCTGACTTGTTTGAATGGGATCACGGAATAGCTCTGCATGCACTGCAGGGGAATGGGGCCTCATCTCGCCTCTAAGGGGAAGTCTCATGGTTTTTCTCGAGTTGCGGCGGGGACCTGGGGTATGTTCTCAACTTACGGCTGGGATGGCCCCTCAAAACACGAGTTTCTTCAGTGACGTCAGGACTCCTGTCTAGTAACGAGGGACACCTCAGGAATCTCTTCGAGGCTTGGCAGGGCAAAAGGGACACTTCTCGAGGTGAGGCAGGGCACCCAAGGACCCTTTCCAGTAGCCACAGGGATTTTGGGATTCCTATCAGTATTCAAGAGGAGTCAGGCATCGTCACCTTTTGAAGCAATGAACTCCGCGTGCCTTTCGAGGTGTCAGCGGGATGTGAGGCATTCCGTCAAAATGAGGCAGGGACCTAGGGCTTTCTCTAAGGTCTCCACAGGGGATTCAGACATCCCTTCATGTTGTGAGATGAAAGACGAGCCTGTATTCAAGCCACTGCAAGGAAATCCGGCCTCCTTTCAAGTTAGGGCTTCTCGCTGTATATTCCCCTTGAGGCAGCAAACTCGGGGTCCCTCCCACATACTTATTGCTGAGAGAATCCTCCTCCTGAGGTGCTTCTGGGAAGTTGGCATACGTCTTGAGCCTAAGCCAGGGAATCAGCTCTCATCTCGAGACGATTTGGGGTACACGGAGCATTCCTCGTGTTGCTGTGCTGAAGTTGGTGTTCCTCTAGACTTGGGACAGTGTTCTCGGGGCATCTCTGGAGTTGCCTGAAGGAAGTCGAGCCACCGGTCGTGTTGAATGGGGAAGGGGAATGGCTCTGGAGTCAATACAGGGGAATCGGGCCTCATCTCGAGTTGATTTGGGGCACATGGAGCTGCTTTGCGTTGCTGGGGTGACCTCAGGGTCCGTCTAGACTGGTGACAGTGTTCTTGGGGACTGTCTCGAGATCCATTAAGCAAGTCGAAGCTCCTGACTTGTTTGAATGGGATCACGGAATAGCTCTGCATGCACTGCAGGGGAATGGGGCCTCATCTCGCCTCTAGGGGGAAGTCTCATGGTTTTTCTCGAGTTGCGGCGGGGACCTGGGGTATGTTCTCGACTTACGGCGGGGATGGCCCTTCAAAACACGAGTTTCTTCAGTGACGTCAGGACTCCTGTCTAGTAACGAGGGACACCTCAGGAATCTCTTCGAGGCTTGGCAGGGCAAAAGGGACGCTTCTCGAGGTGAGGCAGGGCACCCAAGGACCCTTTCCAGTAGCCACAGGGATTTTGGGATTCCTATCAGTATTCAAGAGGAGTCAGGCATCGTCACCTTTTGAAGCAATGAACTCCGCGTGCCTCTCGAGGTGTCAGCGGGATGTGAGGCATTCCGTCAAAATGAGGCAGGGACCTAGGGCTTTCTCTAAGGTCTCCACAGGGGATTCAGACATCCCTTCATGTTGTGAGATGAAAGACGAGCCTGTATTCAAGCCACTGCAAGGAAATCCGGCCTCCTTTCAAGTTAGGGCTTCTCGCTGTATATTCCCCTTGAGGCAACAAACTCGGGGTCCCTCGCACATACCTATTGCTGAGAGAAGCCTCCTCCTGAGGTGCTTCTGGGAAGTTGGCATACGTCTTGAGCCTAAGCCAGGGAATCAGCTCGCATCTCGAGACGATTTGGGGTACACGGAGCATTCCTCCAGTTGCTGTGCTGAAGTTGGTGTTCCTCTAGACTTGGGACAGTGTTCTCGGGGCATCTCTGGAGTTGCCTGAAGGAAGTCGAGCCACCGGTCGTGTTGAATGGGGAACGGGGAATGGCTCTGGAGTCAATGCAGGGGAATCGGGCCTCATCTCGAGTTGATTTGGGGCACATGGAGCTGCTTTGCGTTGCTGGGGTGACCTCAGGGTCCGTCTAGACTGGTGACAGTGTTCTTGGGGACTGTCTAGAGATCCATTAAGCAAGTCGAAGCTCCTGACTTGTTTGAATGGGATCACGGAATAGCTCTGCATGCACTGCAGGGGAATGGGGCCTCATCTCGCCTCTAAGGGGAAGTCTCATGGTTTTTCTCGAGTTGCGGCGGGGACCTGGGGTATGTTCTCAACTTACGGCTGGGATGGCCCCTCAAAACACGAGTTTCTTCAGTGACGTCAGGACTCCTGTCTAGTAACGAGGGACACCTCAGGAATCTCTTCGAGGCTTGGCAGGGCAAAAGGGACACTTCTCGAGGTGAGGCAGGGCACCCAAGGACCCTTTCCAGTAGCCACAGGGATTTTGGGATTCCTATCAGTATTCAAGAGGAGTCAGGCATCGTCACCTTTTGAAGCAATGAACTCCGCGTGCCTTTCGAGGTGTCAGCGGGATGTGAGGCATTCCGTCAAAATGAGGCAGGGACCTAGGGCTTTCTCTAAGGTCTCCACAGGGGATTCAGACATCCCTTCATGTTGTGAGATGAAAGACGAGCCTGTATTCAAGCCACTGCAAGGAAATCCGGCCTCCTTTCAAGTTAGGGCTTCTCGCTGTATATTCCCCTTGAGGCAGCAAACTCGGGGTCCCTCCCACATACCTATTGCTGAGAGAAGCCTCCTCCTGAGGTGCTTCTGGGAAGTTGGCATATGTCTTGAGCCTAAGCCAGGGAATCATCTCTCATCTCGAGACGATTTGGGGTACACGGAGCATTCCTCGAGTTGCTGTGCTGAAGTTGGTGTTCCTCTAGACTTGGGACAGTGTTCTCGGGGCATCTCTGGAGTTGCCTAAAGGAAGTCGAGCCACCGGTCGTGCTGAATGGGGAACGGGGAATGGCTCTGGAGTCAATGCAGGGGAATCGGGCCTCATCTCGAGTTGGTTTGGGGCACATGGAGCTGCTTTGCATTGCTGGGGTGACCTCAGGGTCCGTCTAGACTGCTGACAGTGTTCTTGGGGACTGTCTCGAGATCCATGAAGCAAGTCGAAGCTCCTGACTTGTTTGAATGGGATCACGGAATAGCTCTGCATGCACTGCAGGGGAATGGGGCCTCATCTCGCCTCTAGGGGGAAGTCTCATGGTTTTTCTCGTGTTGCGGCGGGGACCTGGGTTATGTTCTCGACTTACGGCGGGGATGGCCCTTCAAAACACGAGTTTCTTCAGTGACGTCAGGACTCCTTTCTAGTAACGAGGGACACCTCAGGAATCTCTTCGAGGCTTGGCAGGGCAAAAGGGACGCTTCTCGAGGTGAGGCAGGGCACCCAAGGACCCTTTCCAGTAGCCACAGGGATTTTGGGATTCCTATCAGTATTCAAGAGGAGTCAGGCATCGTCACCTTTTGAAGCAATGAACTCCGCGTGCCTCTCGAGGTGTCAGCGGGATGTGAGGCATTCCGTCAAAATGAGGCAGGGACCTAGGGCTTTCTCTAAGGTCTCCACAGGGGATTCAGACATCCCTTCATGTTGTGAGATGAAAGACGAGCCTGTATTCAAGCCACTGCAAGGAAATCCGGCCTCCTTTCAAGTTAGGGCTTCTCGCTGTATATTCCCCTTGAGGCAGCAAACTCGGGGTCCCTCCCACATACTTATTGCTGAGAGAAACCTCCTCCTGAGGTGCTTCTGGGAAGTTGGCATACGTCTTGAGCCTAAGCCAGGGAATCAGCTCTCATCTCGAGACGATTTGGGGTACACGGAGCATTCCTCGTGTTTCTGTGCTGAAGTTGGTGTTCCTCTAGACTTGGGACAGTGTTCTCGGGGCATCTCTGGAGTTGCCTGAAGGAAGTCGAGCCACCGGTCGTGTTGAATGCGGAAAGGGGAATGGCTCTGGAGTCAATGCAGGGGAATCGGGCCTCATCTCGAGTTGATTTGGGGCACATGGAGCTGCTTTGCGTTGCTGGGGTGACCTCAGGGTCCGTCTAGACTGGTGACAGTGTTCATGGGGACTGTCTCAAGATCCATTAAGCAAGTCGAAGCTCCTGACTTGTTTGACTGGGATCACGGAATAGCTCTGCATGCACTGCAGGGGAATGGGGCCTCATCTCGCCTCTAGGGGGAAGTCTCATGGTTTTTCTCGAGTTGCGGCGGGGACCTGGGGTATGTTCTCGACTTACGGCGGGGATGGCCCTTCAAAACACGAGTTTCTTCAGTGACGTCAGGACTCCTGTCTAGTAACGAGGGACACCTCAGGAATCTCTTCGAGGCTTGGCACGGCAAAAGGGACGCTTCTCGAGGTGAGGCAGGGCACCCAAGGACCCATTCCAGTAGCCACAGGGATTTTGGGATTCCTATCAGTATTCAAGAGGAGTCAGGCATCGTCACCTTTTGAAGCAATGAACTCCGCGTGCCTCTCGAGGTGTCAGCGGGATGTGAGGCATTCCGTCAAAATGAGGCAGGGACCTAGGGCTTTCTCTAAGGTCTCCACAGGGGATTCAGACATCCCTTCATGTTGTGAGATGAAAGACGATCCTGTATTCAAGCCACTGCAAGGAAATCCGGCCTCCTTTCAAGTTAGGGCTTCTCGCTGTATATTCCCCTTGAGGCAGCAAACTCAGGGTCCCTCCCACATACCTATTGCTGAGAGAAGCCTCCTCCTGAGGTGCTTCTGGGAAGTTGCCATACGTCTTGAGCCTAAGCCAGGGAATCAGCTCTCATCTCGAGACGATTTGGGGTACACGGAGCATTCCTCGAGTTGCTGTGCTGAAGTTGGTGTTCCTCTAGACTTGGGACAGTGTTCTCGGGGCATCTCTGAAGTTGCCTGAAGGAAGTCGAGCCACCGGTCGTGCTGAAAGGGGAACGGGGAATGGCTCTGGAGTCAATGCAGGGGAATCGGGCCTCATCTCGAGTTGATTTGGGGCACATGGAGCTGCTTTGCGTTGCTGGGGTGACCTCAGGGTCCGTCTAGACTGGTGACAGTGTTCTTGGGGACTGTCTCGAGATCCATTAAGCAAGTCGAAGCTCCTGACTTGTTTGAATGGGATCACGGAATAGCTCTGCATGCACTGCAGGGGAATGGGGCCTCATCTCGCCTCTAGGGGGAAGTCTCATGGTTTTTCTCGAGTTGCAGCGGGGACCTGGGGTATGTTCTCGACTTACGGCGGGGATGGCCCTTCAAAACACGAGTTTCTTCAGTGACGTCAGGACTCCTGTCTAGTAACGAGGGAAACCTCAGGAATCTCTTCGAGGCTTGGCAGTGCAAAAGGGACGCTTCTCGAGGTGAGGCAGGGCACCCAAGGACCCTTTCCAGTAGCCACAGGGATTTTGGGATTCCTATCAGTATTCAAGAGGAGTCAGGCATCGTCACCTTTTGAAGCAATGAACTCCGCGTGCCTCTCGAGGTGTCAGCGGGATGTGAGGCATTCCGTCAAAATGAGGCAGGGACCTAGGGCTTTCTCTAAGGTCTCCACAGGGGATTCAGACATCCCTTCATGTTGTGAGATGAAAGACGAGCCTGTATTCAAGCCACTGCAAGGAAATCCGGCCTCCTTTCAAGTTAGGGCTTCTCGCTGTATATTCCCCTTGAGGCAGCAAACTCGGGGTCCCTCCCACATACCTATTGCTGAGAGAAGCCTCCTCCTGAGGTGCTTCTGGGAAGTTGGCATACGTCTTGAGCCTAAGCCAGGGAATCAGCTCTCATCTCGAGACGATTTGGGGTACACGGAGCATTCCTCGAGTTGCTGTGCTGAAGTTGGTGTTCCTCTAGACTTGGGACAGTGTTCTCGGGGCATCTCTGGAGTTGCCTGAAGGAAGTCGAGCCACCGGTCGTGTTGAATGGGGAACGGGGAATGGCTCTGGAGTCAATGCAGGGAATCGGGCCTCATCTCGAGTTGATTTGGGGCACATGGATCTGCTTTGCGTTGCTGGGGTGACCTCAGGGTCCGTCTAGTCTGGTGACAGTGTTCTTGGGGACTGTCTCGAGATCCATTAAGCAAGTCGAAGCTCCTGACTTGTTTGAATGGGATCACGGAATAGCTCTGCATGCACTGCAGGGGAATGGGGCCTCATCTCGCCTCTAGGGGGAAGTCTCATGGTTTTTCTCGAGTTGCGGCGGGGACCTGGGTTATCTTCTCGACTTACAGCGGGGATGGCCCTTCAAAACACGAGTTTCTTCAGTGACGTCAGGACTCCTGTCTAGTAACGAGGGACACCTCAGGAATCTCTTCGAGGCTTGGCAGGGCAAAAGGGACGCTTCTCGAGGTGAGGCAGGGCACCCAAGGACCCTATCCAGTAGCCACAGGGATTTGGGGATTCCTATCAGTATTCAAGAGGAGTCAGGCATCGTCACCTTTTGAAGCAATGAACTCCGCGTGCCTCTCGAGGTGTCAGCGCGACGTGAGGCATTCCGTCAAAATGAGGCAGGGACCTAGGGCTTTCTCTAAGGTCTCCACAGGGGATTCAGACATCCCTTCATGTTGTGAGATGAAAGACGAGCCTGTAATCAAGCCACTGCAAGGAAATCCGGCCTCCTTTCAAGTTAGGGCTTCTCGCTGTATATTCCCCTTGAGGCAGCAAACTCGGGGTCCCTCCCACATACCTATTGCTGAGAGAAGCCTCCTCCTGAGGTGCTTCTGGGAAGTTGGCATACGTCTTGAGCCTAAGCCAGGGAATCAGCTCTCATCTCGAGACGATTTGGTGTACACGGAGCATTCCTCGAGTTGCTGTGTTGAAGTTGGTGTTCCTCTAGTCTTGGGACAGTGTTCTCGGGGCATCTCTGGAGTTGCCTGAAGGAAGTCGAGCCACCGGTCGTGTTGAATGGGGAAAGGGGAATGGCTCTGGAGTCAATGCAGGGGAATCGGGCCTCATCTCGAGTTGATTTGGGGCACATGGAGCTGCTTTGCGTTGCTGGGGTGACCTCAGGGTCCGTCTAGACTGGTGACAGTGTTCTTGGGGACTCTCTCGAGATCCATTAAGCAAGTCGAAGCTCCTGACTTGTTTGAATGGGATCACGGAATAGCTCTGCATGCACTGCAGGGGAATGGGGCCTCATCTCGCCTCTAGGGGGAAGTCTCATGGTTTTTCTCGAGTTGCGGCGGGGACCTGGGGTATGTTCTCGACTTATGGCGGGGATGGCACTTCAAAACACGAGTTTCTTCAGTGACGTCAAGACTCCTGTGTAGTAACGAGGGACACCTCAGGAATCTCTTCGAGGCTTGGCAGGGCAAAAGGGACGCTTCTCGAGGTGAGGCAGGGCACCCAAGGACCCTTTCCAGTAGCCACAGGGATTTTGGGATTCCTATCAGTATTCAAGAGGAGTCAGGCATCGTCACCTTTTGAAGCAATGAACTCCGCGTGCCTCTCGAGGTGTCAGCGGGATGTGAGGCATTCCGTCAAAATGAGGCAGGGACCTAGGGCTTTCTCTAAGGTCTCCACAGGGGATTCAGACATCCCTTCATGTTGTGAGATGAAAGACGAGCCTGTATTCAAGCCACTGCAAGGAAATCCGGCCTCCTTTCAAGTTAGGGCTTCTCGCTGTATATTCCCCTTGAGGCAGCAAACTCGGGGTCCCTCCCACATACCTATTGCTGAGAGAAGCCTCCTCCTGAGGTGCTTCTGGGAAGTTGGCATATGTCTTGAGCCTAAGCCAGGGAATCAGCTCTCATCTCGAGACGATTTGGGGTACACGGAGCATTCCTCGAGTTGCTGTGCTGAAGTTGGTGTTCCTCTAGACTTGGGACAGTGTTCTCGGGGCATCTCTGGAGTTGCCTGAAGGAAGTCGAGCCACCGGTCGTGTTGAATGGGGAACGGGGAATGGCTCTGGAGTCAATGCAGGGGAATCGGGCCTCATCTCGAGTTGATTTGGGGCACATGGAGCTGCTTTGCTTTGCTGGGGTGACCTCAGGGTCCGTCTAGACTGGTGACAGTGTTCTTGGGGACTGTCTCGAGATCCATGAAGCAAGTCGAAGCTCCTGACTTGTTTGAATGGGATCACGGAATAGCTCTGCATGCACTGCAGGGGAATGGGGCATCATCTCGCCTCTAGGGGGAAGTCTCATGGTTTTTCTCGAGTTGCGGCGGGGACCTGGGGTATGTTCTCGACTTACGGCGGGGATGGCCCTTCAAAACACGAGTTTCTTCAGTGACGTCAGGACTCCTGTCTAGTAACAAGGGACACCTCAGGAATCTCTTCGAGGCTTGGCAGGGCAAAAGGGACGCTTCTCGAGTTGAAGCAGGGCACCCAAGGACCCTTTCCAGTAGCCACAGGGATTTTGGGATTCCTATCAGTATTCAAGAGGAGTCAGGCATCGTCACCTTTTGAAGCAATGAACTCCGCGTGCCTCTCGAGGTGTCAGCGGGATGTGAGGCATTCCGTCAAAATGAGGCAGGGACCTAGGGCTTTCTCTAAGGTCTCCACAGGGGATTCAGACATCCCTTCATGTTGTGAGATGAAAGACGAGCCTGTATTCAAGCCACTGCAAGGAAATCCGGCCTCCTTTCAAGTTAGGGCTTCTCGCTATACATTCCCCTTGAGAAAGCAAACTCGGGGTCCCTCCCACATACCTATTGCTGAGAGAAGCCTCCTCCTGAGGTGCTTCTGGGAAGTTGGCATACGTCTTGAGCCTAAGCCAGGGAATCAGCTCTCATCTCGAGACGATTTGTGGTACACGGAGCATTCCTCGAGTTGCTGTGCTGAAGTTGGTGTTCCTCTAGACTTGGGACAGTGTTCTCGGGGCATCTCTGGAGTTGCCTGAAGGAAGTCGAGCCACCGGTCGTGTTGAATGGGGAAAGGGGAATTGCTCTGGAGTCAATGCAGGGGAATCGGGCCTCATCTCGAGTTGATTTGGGGCACATGGAGCTGCTTTGCGTTGCTGGGGTGACCTCAGGGTCCGTCTAGACTGGTGACAGTGTTCTTGGGGACTGTCTCGAGATCCATTAAGCAAGTCGAAGCTCCTGACTTGTTTGACTGGGATCACGGAATAGCTCTGCATGCACTGCAGGGGAATGGGGCCTCATCTCGCCTCTAGGGGGAAGTCTCATGGTTTTTCTCGAGTTGCGGCGGGGACCTGGGGTATGTTCTCGACTTACGGCGGGGATGGCCCTTCAAAACACGAGTTTCTTCAGTGACGTCAGGACTCCTGTCTAGTAACGAGGGACACCTCAGGAATCTCTTCGAGGCTTGGCAGGGAAAAAGGGACGCTTCTCGAGGTGAGGCAGGGCACCCAAGGACCCTTTCCAGTAGCCACAGGGATTTTGGGATTCCTATCAGTATTCAAGAGGAGTCAGGCATCGTCACCTTTTGAAGCAATGAACTCCGCGTGCCTCTCGAGGTGTCAGCGCGACGTGAGGCATTCCGTCAAAATGAGGCAATGACCTAGGGCTTTCTCTAAGCTCTCCACAGGGGATTCAGACATCCCTTCATGTTGTGAGATGAAAGACGAGCCTGTATTCAAGCCACTGCAAGGAAATCCGGCCTCCTTTCAAGTTAGGGCTTCTCGCTGTATATTCCCCTTGAGGCAGCAAACTCGGGGTCCCTCCCACATACCTATTGCTGAGAGAAGCCTCCTCCTGAGGTGCTTCTGGGAAGTTGGCATACGTCTTGAGCCTAAGCCAGGGAATCAGCTCTCATCTCGAGACGATTTGGGGTACACGGAGCATTCCTCGAGTTGCTGTGTTGAAGTTGGTGTTCCTCTAGACTTGGGACAGTGTTCTCGGGGCATCTCTGGAGTTGCCTGAAGGAAGTCGAGCCACCGGTCTTGTTGAATGGGGAAAGGGGAATGGCTCTGGGGTCAATGCAGGGGAATCGGGCCTCATCTCGAGTTGATTTGGGGCACATGGAGCTGCTTTGCGTTGCTGGGGTGACCTCAGGGTCCGTCTAGACTGGTGACAGTGTTCTTGGGGACTGTCTCGAGATCCATTAAGCAAGTCGAAGCTCCTGACTTGTTTGAATGGGATCACGGAATAGCTCTGCATGCACTGCAGGGGAATGGGGCCTCATCTCGCCTCTAGGGGGAAGTCTCATGGTTTTTCTCGAGTTGCGGCGGGGACCTGGGGTATGTTCTCGACTTACGGCGGGGATGGCACTTCAAAACACGAGTTTCTTCAGTGACGTCAGGACTCCTGTGTACTAACGAGGGACACCTCAGGAATCTCTTCGAGGCTTGGCAGGGCAAAAGGGACGCTTCTCGAGGTGAGGCAGGGCACCCAAGGACCCTTTCCAGTAGCCACAGGGATTTTGGGATTCCTATCAGTATTCAAGAGGAGTCAGGCGTCGTCACCTTTTGAAGCAATGAACTCCGCGTGCCTCTCGAGGTGTCAGCGGGATGTGAGGCATTCCGTCAAAATGAGGCAGGGACCTAGGGCTTTCTCTAAGGTCTCCACAGGGGATTCAGACATCCCTTCATGTTGTGAGATGAAAGACGAGCCTGTATTCAAGCCACTGCAAGGAAATCCGGCCTCCTTTCAAGTTAGGGCTTCTCGCTGTATATTCCCCTTGAGGCAGCAAACTCGGGGTCCCTCCCACATACCTATTGCTGAGAGAAGCCTCCTCCTGAGGTGCTTCTGGGAAGTTGGCATACGTCTTGAGCCTAAGCCAGGGAATCAGCTCTCATCTCGAGACGATTTGGGGTACACGGAGCATTCCTCGAGTTGCTGTGCTGAAGTTGGTGTTCCTCTAGACTTGGGACAGTGTTCTCGGGGCATCTCTGGAGTTGCCTGAAGGAAGTCGAGCCACCGGTCGTGTTGAATGGGGAACGGGGAATGGCTCTGGAGTCAATGCAGGGGAATCGGGCCTCATCTCGAGGTGATTTGGGGCACATGGAGCTGCTTTGCGTTGCTGGGGTGACCTCAGGGTCCGTCTAGACTGGTGACAGTGTTCTTAGGGACTGTCTCGAGATCCGTTAAGCAAGTCGAAGCTCCTGACTTGTTTGAATGGGATCACGGAATAGCTCTGCATGCACTGCAGGGGAATGGGGCCTCATCTCGCCTCTAGGGGGAAGTCTCATGGTTTTCTCGAGTTGCGGCGGGGACCTGGGGTATGTTCTCGACTTACGGCGGGGATGGCCCTTCAAAACACGAGTTTCTTCAGTGACGTCAGGACTCCTGTCTAGTAACGAGGGACACCTCAGGAATCTCTTCGAGGCTTGGCAGGGCAAAAGCGATGCTTCTCGAGGTGAGGCAGGGCACCCAATTACCCTTTCCAGTAGCCACAGGGATTTTGGGATTCCTATCAGTATTCAAGAGGAGTCAGGCTTCGTCACCTTTTGAAACAATGAACTCCGCGTGCCTCTCGAGGTGTCAGCGGGATGTGAGGCATTCCGTCAAAATGAGGCAGGGACCTAGGGCTTTCTCTAAGGTCTCCACAGGGGATTCAGACATCCCTTCATGTTGTGAGATGAAAGACGAGCCTGTATTCAAGCCACTGCAAGGAAATCCGGCCTCCTTTCAAGTTAGGGCTTCTCGCTGTATATTCCCCTTGAGGCAGCAAACTCGGGGTCCCTCCCACATACCTATTGCTGAGAGAAGCCTCCTCCTGAGGTGCTTCTGGGAAGTTGGCATACGTCTTGAGCCTAAGCCAGGGTATCAGCTCTCATCTCGAGACGATTTGGGGTACACGGAGCATTCCTCGAGTTGCTGTGCTGAAGTTGGTGTTCCTCTAGACTTGGGACAGTGTTCTCGGGGCATCTCTGGAGTTGCCTGAAGGAAGTCGAGCCACGGGTCGTGTTGAATGGGGAACGGGGAATGGCTCTGGAGTCAATGCAGGGGAATCGGGCCTCATCTCGAGTTGATTTGGGGCACATGGAGCTGCTTTGCGTTGCTGGGGTGACCTCAGGGTCCGTCTAGACTGGTGACAGTGTTCTTGGGGACTGTCTCGAGATCCATTAAGCAAGTCGAAGCTCCTGACTTGTTTGAATGGGATCACGGAATAGCTCTGCATGCACTGCAGGGGAATGGGGCCTCATCTCGCCTCTAGGGGGAAGTCTCATGGTTTTTCTCGAGTTGCGGCGGGGACCTGGGGTATGTTCTCGACTTACGGCGGGGATGGCCCTTCAAAACACGAGTTTCTTCAGTGACGTCAGGACTCCTGTCTAGTAACGAGGGACACCTCAGGAATCTCTTCGAGGCTTGGCAGGGAAAAAGGGACGCTTCTCGAGGTGAGGCAGGGCACCCAAGGACCCTTTCCAGTAGCCACAGGGATTTTGGGATTCCTATCAGTATTCAAGAGGAGTCAGGCATCGTCACCTTTTGAAGCAATGAACTCCGCGTGCCTCTCGAGGTGTCAGCGGGATGTGAGGCATTCCGTCAAAATGAGGCAGGGACCTAGGGCTTTCTCTAAGGTCTCCACAGGGGATTCAGACATCCCTTCATGTTGTGAGATGAAAGACGAGCCTGTATTCAAGCCACTGCAAGGAAATCCGGCCTCCTTTCAAGTTAGGGCTTCTCGCTGTATATTCCCCTTGAGGCAGCAAACTCGGGGTCCCTCCCACATACCTATTGCTGAGAGAAGCCTCCTCCTGAGGTGCTTCTGGGAAGTTGGCATACGTCTTGAGCCTAAGCCAGGGAATCAGCTCTCATCTCGAGACGATTTGGGGTACACGGAGCATTCCTCGAGTTGCTGTGCTGAAGTTGGTGTTCCTCTAGACTTGAGACAGTGTTCTCGGGGCATCTCTGGAGTTGCCTGAAGGAAGTCGAGCCACCGGTCGTGCTGAATGGGGAACGGGGAATGGCTCTGGAGTCAATGCAGGGGAATCGGGCCTCATCTCGAGTTGATTTGGGGCACATGGAGCTGCTTTGCGTTGCTGGGGTGACCTCAGGGTCCGTCTAGACTGGTGACAGTGTTCTTGGGGACTGTCTCGAGATCCATGAAGCAAGTCGAAGCTCCTGACTTGTTTGAATGGGATCACGGAATAGCTCTGCATGCACTGCAGGGGAATGGGGCCTCATCTCGCCTCTAGGGGGAAGTCTCATGGTTTTTCTCGAGTTGCGGCGGGGACCTGGGGTATGTTCTCGACTTACGGCGGGGATGGCCCTTCAAAACACGAGTTTCTTCAGTGACGTCAGGACTCCTGCCTAGTAATGAGGGACACCTCAGGAATCTCTTCGAGGCTTGGCAGGGCAAAAGGGACGCTTCTCGAGGTGAGGCAGGGCACCCAAGGACCCTTTCCAGTAGCCACAGGGATTTTGGAATTCCTATCAGTATTCAAGAGGAGTCAGGCATCGTCACCTTTTGAAGCAATGAACTCCGCGTGCCTCTCGAGGTGTCAGCGGGATGTGAGGCATTCCGTCAAAATGAGGCAGGGACCTAGGGCTTTCTCTAAGGTCTCCACAGGGGATTCAGACATCCCTTCATGTTGTGAGATGAAAGACGAGCCTGTATTCAAGCCACTGCAAGGAAATCCGGCCTCCTTTCAAGTTAGGGCTTCTCGCTGTATATTCCCCTTGAGGCAGCAAACTCGGGGTCCCTCCCACATACCTATTGCTGAGAGAAGCCTCCTCCTGAGGTGCTTCTGGGAAGTTGGCATATGTCTTGAGCCTAAGCCAGGGAATCATCTCTCATCTCGAGACGATTTGGGGTACACGGAGCATTCCTCGAGTTGCTGTGCTGAAGTTGGTGTTCCTCTAGACTTGGGACAGTGTTCTCGGGGCATCTCTGGAGTTGCCTGAAGGAAGTCGAGCCACCGGTCGTGCTGAATGGGGAACGGGGAATGGCTCTGGAGTCAATGCAGGGGAATCGGGCCTCATCTCGAGTTGGTTTGGGGCACATGGAGCTGCTTTGCGTTGCTGGGGTGACCTCAGGGTCCGTCTAGACTGCTGACAGTGTTCTTGGGGACTGTCTCGAGATCCATGAAGCAAGTCGAAGCTCCTGACTTGTTTGAATGGGATCACGGAATAGCTCTGCATGCACTGCAGGGGAATGGGGCCTCATCTCGCCTCTGGGGGAAGTCTCATGGTTTTTCTCGTGTTGCGGCGGGGACCTGGGTTATGTTCTCGACTTACAGCGGGGATGGCCCTTCAAAACACGAGTTTCTTCAGTGACGTCAGGACTCCTGTCTAGTAACGAGGGACACCTCAGGAATCTCTTCGAGGCTTGGCAGGGCAAAAGGGACGCTTCTCGAGGTGAGGCAGGGCACCCAAGGACCCTTTCCAGTAGCCACAGGGATTTTGGGATTCCTATCAGTATTCAAGAGGAGTCAGGCATCGTCACCTTTTGAAGCAATGAACTCCGCGTGCCTCTCGAGGTGTCAGCGGGATGTGAGGCATTCCGTCAAAATGAGGCAGGGACCTAGGGCTTTCTCTAAGGTCTCCACAGGGGATTCAGACATCCCTTCATGTTGT